TTTCATCTGCCGATGCAATCAAATTTGTTTATATCGATCTTTTGTTCTAGCTCTTGGATGGGTTTTCAACATTTTCATTATATGGTCATTGTAGGATCTCAAGTAACTAGTTTCTTGTATAATGATTACAGAAAAATGCCCTAATCATGTGTTTACTTTTCGAACGTAGAGATGGACTCGTGTGTTAAGCTGGGGGATTAAAATTCAATATATGATATAGTTTATTAGTGTTATATAAAAAGGAATATTCCATTCATTTTCCATACTACATTAAAAAAAACATGTCTTTCTCTATCGGTGTGTTTTTAGGCTTAATGGTAAAATTGATCTTCTAAATTATATATTTTTGGCTTTTGGCTTAAGTATCATTTTTGTCCTTGTATTAGACTTAATTTATCATTTTCGTCCATATCGTATTTTCATATTAATTTAACCCTTAAACTTATTTAATTGTATCATTCTATACCCTACCTGAACTTAAAACCCTAAAATATATATTGAAGTCAAGATTTAAGATTTAAGGGTTATGGGTTTATGTTTTAAGGTTCGGAGGTTTACAATTTAGGGATAGGGTATAAAATGATACAATTGATAAACTTCGAGGGCTAAATTTATGCGAAAATACGATATGGGCGAAAATGATAAATTAAATCTATTACAGGGATAAAAGTTACCCTTTTGCCTATATTTTTTCTATTTAATTTTCGTTAGAAGGGATAGAACTATAATTTTCTTGGTTTATCAAAAAAATAACCAATAAAATATAAAACATTACACAATTTCTAAAAAATATATTCTAAAAAATAACTTTAAAAAAATACCTGAAAAAGCAATTTTCAGATCTTGACCATGGTACACAAATTGAGAGAAAAAAAGAGTAAATTACGCATTTAGTATTTAAACTATTAGTTTTGGTTCGTTTTAATACTTAAACTTTCAATTTTTAAAAAAATTATACATAACGTTTAGTTTTTGTTTTATTTTAGTACTCATCTTTAAAAACTTAACGTGTTTAGTACCTAAACTATCAATATTAGTTTGTTTTAGTACCTAAACTTTAAAAAAATAAAACTTGACGTTAAAATTTGAACATGGGTACTAAAATGAAATAAAACAAAACTCTAGGTGTGATTTTTAAAAAAATGAAAGCTTAAGGACTAATATTAATAGTTTAGGTACTAAGTATGTAATTTACCCAAAAATAAGATGACTATGCTTCATTTGATCGTCCCACCTTAATCCGTGTTCACCCCGCGTGTGCATGAATCTTGCCAGTTGCCACCTCCACTAGCATTAGGTTCTGGCACACATTTTAGGTGAAATTCTTCCATTAATATTTATTTTATATATAAATAACGGTAAAGCACACAAATTGTCCCTTGATTATAGGAAATTGCTTTCTTGAGCTCTTCGACTATTAAAAGTTACAAAATGATCCCCTGATTAGAGGATGTTGCTTTGTTAAGTCTCTAGACTATCAAAAGTTGCAAAATGACCACTTCGCTATTCATTATGTTTCATATTTGTTTTTTTTCGTTAAAAAATTAACCGCAGTCTACGCTGGATGGTAGTCCATTGTCTTAAATATGATAGTCGTTTGAGATTACGGGATCAAATTTTCTCATATGTCAGACATTATATTAACATTCAGCTTAGATTGTCGTCAATTTTTAACAGAAAATGATGAATTTAGAACATAATGAATAGCCAGATGATTATTTTATAAAGTTTAATAATCAAGGACTCGACAAAACAACATCATATATTCGAGAGATCATTTTATAACTTTTTATAGTCAATGAACTCAACAAATCGATACCCTATAGTCGAGAGATCATTGTATACTTTGCCCTATAAATTATGAATTTAACTTATATACTCTAATTTAATATTTTAAGATTTAATTCTTATATAAATAATAACTACTAAATTTTAAATTCAAATTTTGTTATTAATTTATATATTATGACTAAATTTATTTATATCTTTTAACTTGATAATTTAACTTTTTATATTTTAATTATATTATTTTAATCATAAATACAATTTATATTTTTAGAAGTATAAAAATAAAAATTACTAAATGAAAATATAAAATTAAATTTATAATTTACACATAATATAAAAAATAATGACAAATTTAACCTATATTTTAATCATCAAAGGTCATTTCACATTAATACAGCATGCAATACTCATTCATTCGTTCATAGGAGAAATGGACTATTTTAGGCATGAATATCACTTGATTTTTATATATATTACGACCATACAATTACATAAATTTTTAATTTCATTATTGTCATCAATAAACCTTAATACATAAGATTATTATTATTCTCTTTATTTCATTAAATTTACTATATTTTAATTTTTATTTGTCAGTTTTAATTATAAAATTTAAGTAATTAAGTATCTACAATAATTAAATTTAATATTTTGAATTAAAAAGGCTTAAAAATAAAACAAGTTCTCAAATTATAACGTTTTTCATGAACATGTGCCTAAACTATTTTTTGAATAATTTCAGTGTCTAACGTTACAAACGTTACAACTTTAGGTGTCCGGACCGTAAACGACGTTAATTTTTTTCATTAAGTGACACGTGTAATAATATGGTAATTTCGAAATTTATTTTTAAAAACATTAAAACATTATTATTTAATTTAAAAAATCCTTATTTCTCTTAAATTATAAAAAAAATCCCTAAAATCCTCAAATCTTAACCTTAACTTGCCGCCGTCGCCCTTTCCGGCCATGATCATCATTGTCGACATAGTCCTTGTCATCTTCCTAGTTATATGTCATTGTAGTTGTTGTCGATTGGTCATCGGAATCACGTGGAATCGTGATTTTCATTATTGGGTCCACAAGGTATAAAATGTCGATTCTCCATAGATTGGTCGTGATTTCATAGGGATTTTGGTCATCAGGGGGAGGTGAGGTCGGGTGGAGCTTCGTCAATGGCAAAGGGCGGTAGTCTGGGTTTAGGGGTTGATGAAGGTTTTCAAAGTTTTAGGGTTATTTCAAAATTTATGTTTTTCTTTCAAAAAAATATAGTTTTAATTTTTTTTTAAATTTTATATACATTTTTTAAATTACCAGATTGTGACACGTATCACTTAACGAAAAAACTTAATGTAGTTGACGGCCCGAACACCTAAAGTGGTAATGTTTGTATCATTAGACACTGAAAATTATTCAAAAAATAACTTAGTCACTTATTTTATATTTAAGCCTTAAAGGAATACTAACGGTGACATTTTATTAAAATAAAGAGTTAATTGCATCATATGCCTCTAAACTATACTCTCATTTTAAATTGATCCTTAAACTTTTAAATATTCTAATTTCATCCCCTAAATTATGACTTTCATTCTAAATTAGTTATTAAACTTTTAAACATTTCAATTACATCCATAACTATGACTCTCATTCTAAATTGGTCCACAAACTTCTAAATTTTCTAATTTTATCCCCAAATTCATCCAAATATGTAATTAGTTTCAACCATAGTTTAACCTAAATTTTATTTTTTTAAACATATAATAATATAACTTGGCTAACGATTTTATTAACAATTAATGTGATTAGTATACGCATATAGTTTGGGATGAAATTGGAATATTAAAAAAGTTTAGGGACTAATTTAGAATGAAGGTTATAATTTGAGGATGGAATTGAAATATTCAAAGTTTGAAGACTAATTTAGAATAATAGTCATAGGTCAAGGATAAAATTAAAATATTTAGAAGTTTAGGAACCAATTAAAAATAACAATCATAACTTGAAGACAAATTAACTCTGAAATAAAGGGAATATTAAGTAAAAAAGATAATTTTTAAGTTGAAAACAGCGTTGTTAATTATTTTAATTTTTCAGTTATAGATGGTTGAAAAAGAAAAGTATTGAATGATAAATGTAGGGTCAATGTTTGGTAATAAATGGTGTCACAATCACACATTAAAGGAACGCCAGGTCTGCCTTCCTTAGTCCCAACCTTTTTTTTAAAAGGGTAAATTACACTGTGCCACACTGAACTATACTCTATCTCCTATTTTCTTCACCCAACTTTCAATTTGATCACTGAACTTTACAATTGAATCATTTTGCTTACTCGACCGTTTTCTCTCTAACAGCTAACGATGTGAACTTTTTTTAATTATTGTTTAATATAAAATAATTAAAAATAAAATAAAAATAGAAGGTGGTCGGATGCCACTGTATACCACTGTCGACCTCTGTAGATGGTGGTCGTTTGGTCCTAAAATAGGATAGGTTGCTTCGCCTCGACACCTTGAGTCCGAATCCGACCTCATGCTCTGAAGTCCACGAATTTGAGATTGAAAGTGAGGAAAATGAAACGTTTCAATATAAATTCACTGGTTTTTGGACATTTTTCGGTGAAACAACCACAAGATTCAGATTCAGGGGTTGAGACGAACCGACCCATGAAATTTGAGACCGAACGACCAACATCTACTGTGGTCGACGGTGGCCAGAATAAAAATAATATGGTGGCCGAAAAAGAGAAAATGAAGAAGAGAAGAAAAAAGGGTAAATTACACCATGAGTCATTGAACTTTTATTTTTCTCACCAAAAAGACGTTGTTTTGGAGTATATTTGAGTTTTTCAAAACGACGTCGATTTGATGCATATGCCACATCAGAATGCCGTTAAGTAGTTAATGGCAGAGTGAGCAAAATGATTTAATTTGTAAAGTTTAGTTAGCAACATGATCAAATTGAAAGTTGGGCGAAGAAAATAGGAAAGAGAGTAAAGTTAAGTTAGGAAAGATATAATTTATCTTTTTTATAATTTAGTCCCACCCATTTCGATTAGTCCAAAATGCCCCATTTCCTTTTGGTTCTTAACTGAAAAAACCTTCCTTAGTAGTTAAGTCTGATCAAACCTATTTATACCCATCACCTTGTCCAAATCCAAAAATCAAACCGCTCTTCTTCTTCGTCTTCTTCGTCTTCTTCGTTTTCTCAGATTAATGGCCTCTCCCCGTGAAATTGAGGTCACCATCTACTCCGCCAAAGACCTCAAAAACGTGAACTGGCGGCACGGCCCCATCAGGCCCTACGCCGTCCTGTGGGTGGACCCCAAATACAAGTGTTCCTCCAAGGTCGACGAGGAGGGCGACACCTCTCCGTTCTGGGACGAGACTCTGCTCATCCCCCTCCCTCCTGCTCCCATCAACGACGACACCGCTCTATTCGTCGACGTCGTCCACGGCGGCTCCGAGGAGGACACCAAGCCTCTCATAGGCTCCGCTAAGATCAAGCTCCGGGAAGTCCTCGACAACGTCGGATTCGGTGTAAGCCTCGAGAAAACGCTCAAGCTGAAGCGTCCCTCCGGGAGGCCCCATGGAAAGGCCGACGTTAGGGTCTTAATCAGAGAGCCACGTTATCACGTTCCCGATCCTTACCGGGCACCTCCCTACGGGGTCCCACCACCGGCTTCAAGAGACTATCTGGCAGCCCCGCCGGCTTATGGCTACTCTTACCAGTACGCTCAGCCTCCCCCGCCGCAGAATCCTTACTACGCGGCCCCGGCTTCTGGGCAATACAGTTATAACGCTCAGCCGGCGTACGGTGAGGGGAGTGGGGGGGGCTACTACGGGTACGGGCAGGAGGAGAAGAAGAAGAGTAAGTTTGGGGGGATGGGGACTGGATTGGCTGTGGGTGCGGTTGCAGGGGCTTTGGGTGGACTGGCATTAGCGGAGGGTGTGGATGCGTTGGAGGATCATTTCGAAGACGAAGTGGCGGAGAAGGTTGAAGATGATATTGGATACGACGACGGCGGTGATGATTTCTAATCGTTGATGTCGACTGAATAATGCTTCCGGGAATATGGGATTATATTTATATTCCAATATCAATATTAAAAAGCATAAATTTGTCCGAAAATAATATCTTTCTTTTTTTAAGTCTTAAAAAAAAGTAAGAGTTTAAATTATAGTGATTATCTCTAATAAATATTTAAATTATATTTTAAATGATTTTGATATTTAATGTTATAAATATTATCACGATTGATGTTTAGACCGTCAAAAGTGTTAATTTCTCTATTAAGTGACAATGTTACAATCTGATAATTTAAAAAATTATTTAAAATTAAAAAGTTAAAATTATATATTTAAAAAACACATGCAAATTTTTTGAAATAACCTCAAAAGTTTGAAATTTTTTATTTTAACACTTAAACTCACTTCGACCTTTGCTGTTTATCTTCTTCAAAACTCCATCCGACATCACCTCCTCTCGTTGAACAAAACCCCAATGAAATTGTGACATATCAACGACGAATCGATGTTTTATACCCGTAAACTCTATGATGAAAATCGCAATCCTATTTGATTTTAACGGTTAATCAGCGACAACTACGATGAGATATGACTAGGAGGATGATAATGACTACGTCGATAATAGTGGCCATGGCCTGAAAGGACGACGACGTCGGGTTAAGGTTAAGATTTTAGGTTTATTTTATAATTTAAGAGAAATATTTTTAATATTTAAAAAAATAGATTTCAAAATCATCAAATTGTGACAATGTTACTTAACAGAAGAAATTAATATTATTAACGTCTGAGCACCTAAAATGATAACTTTTGTAACATTAGACACCAAAAGTATTCAAAAATAATTTAAACATATATTCGTGAAAATCGTTATTGTTTGTAAACTTATTTTATAAGTAAGCATTTTTTTAACTGCATTTAATGCTTATTCAAAACACTTTCTATTGAGAAACAACAACAATAAAACTTTATTCTCATATGCAATAGGGTAAGCAAAAGCTTTCTTTAAAAGTAAAGTTCGGAGCTCACTTTAGGTATGGCATAAAGCCCAAAGCTTAAGCTTCTTCTGGTCACTTTAAGTAGGGCTAAGCGTCCGTCCAATTAAAGTGGAGATTTTAAATTAGTTTAATTGATAAATTTTATTTTATTATTTCAACTTCTTTTATTTTTAGAAGCGTGTTCGGGTAGGTTCAGTCGAAAGCAATTAGACATAGCAAACTTGATCCGAACTCAATTATTTGAATTTATTTACATGACTCAATATCTAATATTAACTCGAATATGATGATCAAATTTGATTTGAAACCTGAACATACTCGACCCGAACTATTCCCGGTCCAGAATTTAGTTGACCCAATATGGATCTATATCCAATTTGACCCAAATCGAAAACAATCCGAACTGAAATTAACCAAAATTGAAAGCAACCCGACCCAAAAATAATTCGAACCAAAACTACTCAAACTGAATTTAACCTGAACCGAAAAGTAGCTTGAACTGGATTTAACCCGATCCGAAATTAATCTGAATCTAAAACAATCTCAACCGAAAATCTATATATACTTGATTACACTTATAACAAAATTAAGTCTAAAGGATAAGATTAACAAACAAGATAACATATTTTTACAATAATATATTAATAATTCTATATATACTTGATTAGACTCATAATCAATTCAATCCGAATTTACCTGATCCAAAGATTAACCCAAAAAATAATACGCGTCACTCATTAGATTTTTTTAACGGCGGTTACGGCTTGAGTACCTAAAGTGATAACGTTTGTAACGTTAGACACCTAGACGAATTGAAAAAAAATTGACACATATTTAGGAAAACGGTATAGTTTAGACACTTGTTTTATAATTAATTTTTAAAAATAGATTTTAGTTAAGTTTTATTTAAAAAATAAAATTAAAACCTAAATAATATGGTTAAATTCTAACTTCAATTTCATAGTGAAAATAAGTTTATGTTTGAAATTTAATCATACATGTACGAACTAAGTGACTTCAATAGTTAAGAGACTTGTTGATATCTCATGAGATCTCGTGTTCGAACACTGCATAAACTGAATATATCAATATATATATCAAATAATTGAGAGTCTTTGAATAGATATTATCTCAACAAAAATAAGACTACTAAAAGACTATTGACAAACATCAAATCAGAATCGAGCCAAGTGAATAAACTATTCACGAACGCGAATCGCATACCCAAATTCAATCCGATGGTCCAAAGCAGGAAAAATTAACACGATAACAAATAAGTGTCAATTTGATCGGTCGTGAAGATGTTAAATCCAACCCTGAGAAAATTATAAACTAAAACAACTATAGGGGAATAACAATGATAGGAATTATTGAAACATGATAATGGTTAGTTTTTCAGATGAGATGTTTTCTAGGAACCGGTCATAATTATACGATCGAAAAGACTGGTTCATACATCAGTTTCGTAGGCATTGAAAGTATGTACCTTTGGGCGTACACACAATGATAGAATTATTGAAAATAATAATGGTTAGTTTTTCAGATGAGATGTTTCCTAGGAACGGTCATAATTATACGATCGAAAAGACTGGTTCATACATCAGTTTCGTAGGCATTTAAAGTATTTACAAGGTTCGATTTTATGTTAGAGGGATCAACTTAAAATTCTTCTAAATTTTAGATGAGATAAAATTAGAGACAAAAATTTTAGGGGAGACTATCGTTTCCAATCGTCCCTTTGATTCATTCATGATTTAATTGGATATGTTTTCATAATTACTCAATTTTTTACTAGTTTAATTTTTTTATTAAGCTAAGGTGATTATAAAGTAGAATATATTATAAATATTCTCAATCATTTGACAATAAACGTTCAATCATCTATGTTGCAGTTGCTGGTTCTCGAACCAAGAACTTCTAGGAATAACAATTATTCCTTTAATCATTTATGTAATTTGGTTCGTGCTACTTCTAATTTTTTTTAAAAAAAAGGCATATGGGGTTCTTGTACTCTTGAAAAAAAACCAATATGACCCTCGTATTATTTTTCTCTCAACGTGGTCCTCCAATTCAGAAAATAAACTCAATGTAACACTTTAACCAATATTTTTTCGGCGTTGATCGTTATAATATTGATGTGACATTTCACGGTGCTGACGTGACAATCAACTATACTGACATAGGAGTCCAAGGTAACAGATTAATATGGCGGATGACATGACAGATTGGTAACTCAAACGAGACACATTGATTGATATGTCAGCACCATTAACCACCATGTCAGCACTGTAAAATGATACGTCAGTATTGTATCAATAAATAACAAAAACGTTGGTCAAATGAGCCATCGAATTTTTTAAAAGTATAAATACACATCATACCCTTTTGTCAAAAAAATTAGTCACGGTTAACTTGTATCATGTTAAGGAAACAGAAATAGAAATAGAGGTACAAATTTTGAGGTGGCGTTATCGTTGGCATTTATTTTAGCCATAATATCACGAAAGTGAGCTAACACATTTTTACCCAACTACTGCATCTAAAGCCGAACAGGCGGTTCGGCCAGCACATTAATGGACCTCAACTGCTTTCATCGTTCCTCATTAATGAAACCCTCCAACTACATCAAAGGTGTGTTTATAAGTATCTTCACAGTCTAACCTCTTCCTTCTACCTACAAAAAAGAAAAGAAAAGAAAATGGCAGCTGAAGCAGGGAAGAAGGAAGAAGAGATCATGTCGAAGGTGAAAATCACCACCAAAACCCACGTGAAGCCCGGGAAGATGATAGGGAGAAAAGAATGTCAACTGGTCACCTTTGATCTCCCATATCTGGCATTCTATTACAACCAGAAGCTGCTGTTTTACAAGTGTGGGGAGCTGGAAGAGAAGGTGGATAAACTCCGGGACGGGCTGAGGGTGGTTTTGGAGGAGTTTTATCAGCTGGGAGGAAAGCTTGGAAAAGATGAAGATGGGGTTTTCAGGGTGGACTACGACGACGATATGGACGGCGTCGAGGTGCTGGAAGCCGTCGCCGAAGGGATCGCCGTCGATGAGCTCGCTGCCGATGAAGGCACGAGCTCTCTCAAGGACTTGATACCCTACAATCGTGTCCCCAACTTGGAGGGCTTACACAGGCCTCTATTGTCTGTGCAGGTAAATATGTTACATTTAAACTTCTTGTTGGTTCATTAACTTGATACTGCTAGATCCTACATGCACATCAGAATTTGGCCTGCAATTTTCTTCGGATTGACTAATGAGTACTACACGTAATTAGCTCATTAATCATCACTTAACACTCCTACTAGTTTTATTTTAGTACTATTAAAAATTTAACGTTAAATTTAAAAAAAAAAATTAAAATTTTAAGTATTAAAACAGATCAAAACTAATAGTTCATGCACTAAAGATATTAAAATTTTAATGATTAAAATAAAATAAAAACTAAATTAAACATTAAATACGATTTTATCGAGTTAAAATTTAAATAATAAAACATACCAAAATTAATAATGTAAGTAAATAAATATAATAATTGAAGGTAGACCCTCATAAAAGGACTAACCGGTAGGTCTAATGCCGTGTGGTTTTTCATCCACCCAAAATTTATTTAATACTTTAGGAGTATTTTATTTTCATCATATAAAATTAAAGATAAAGTATATAAATAGTCAATGATTATATGGTGTTGTTTTGTTGAGTTATATAATTATTAAAAAGTTATAAAATAATAATTCGATTACTTGTATATTATAAACTCGTCCCTTTCTGTTAAAACATTGACAACCATTTAAGTTGGACGTTAACTTCGGATTGAAATATAATAAAATTATATTTTGATGATATTTATGGGTATCGTCGTTGCTTTCAAGAATTGACTCGACGACATAATTAGGGATGAACATGGGTTAGGCCATGTCAAGTTTTTAGTCAATCCGACCTAGCCCAAAAATATATACCATCTGCTCGAAACCCGACCGATCCTAGTTTAGGAGTGACGTCACCGATCCGGGTTTTTGAGGTAAAACTCGAATCTGATCCGAACTAAATAAATTTATAAAAATATTATTTTTATTTTAAAAAATAGAGATCTAATTGAAAAAATAATATATAGAAGATTATTATTGTAATTATCCCTAAATATATAAGATAAATTTACATTATTTTTCATGTCAGATCGGGTATTTTTCATCATAAATCCAAACCCAACTCGAATAAATTTTCTATAAAGTTCGATCCGGTTCGATCTAAACTTGATTTTTTAAACAAAAAATTGGATCCGATCAGGTCATAACTCGTCGGATTTGGATCATGTGCCCATCCCTAAACATAATATAATCAAAAATTTATTTTGTAATATTTAATAGTAGAAGATTCGATATAATTTGGGATATTTATATACTTTATCTTAACATTAGATAATTATAATCAAAATATTTTAAAAATACTATTTATCATTTGATTTAACCTTGAAAGGTTGTTCTATTTTTGTTCGGTTGTGCTCATAATTTCTTGTTATTGTCCAAACTCCGATAGTTAACGAAGTTGAAAGATGGATTGGCAATCGGGTGTGCGTTCAACCACGCCATCCTCGACGGAACCTCGACATGGCATTTCATGAGCACCTGGGCTCAAATCTGCAGCGGCTCCAACACGGTTGCCGTCCCACCGTTCCTCGACCGGACCAAAACCCGAAACACCCGTGTGAAACTCGATCTCTCGCTCCCTCCCAATCCACTCGCCACCGCCAACGGCGATGCCCGCCAGCTCAGGGAGAAACTCTTCCGGTTCCCCGAAGCCGCCATCGACAAGATCAAGTCCAAAGCTAACTCCAACCCACCGACCCCAGGCTCCAAACCATTCTCCACTTTCCAGTCTCTAGCCGTCCACATTTGGCAACATGTGACCCGAGCACGTAACCTTAAACCCGAAGACTACACGGTTTTCACAGTCTTCGCCGATTGTCGGAAAAGGGTTGACCCACCCATGCCGGAGAGTTACTTCGGCAACCTCATACAAGCCATCTTCACCGTCACAGCAGCCGGGTTACTCCTGGCCAACCCGATGGAATTCGGTGCATCGGTCATACAGAAAGCCATCGAAGCGCACGATGCCAAGGCCATCGAGGAACGTAACAAGGAGTGGGAAGCGGCTCCGAAGATCTTCGAGTTCAAAGACGCCGGCGTCAACTGCGTAGTGGTCGGCAGCTCGCCGAGGTTCAAGGTTTACGATGTGGACTTCGGGTGGGGAAAACCAGAAGGCGTGAGGAGCGGATCCAACAACAGGTTCGATGGGATGGTTTATTTGTATCAGGGGAAGAGCGGCGGGAGGAGCATTGATGTGGAGATCACCTTGGAAGCTGCTGCCATGGAGCAGCTGGAGAAAGATGACGACTTTCTCATGGAAGTCTAGCCTTTTTTTCCTTCTTCTTTAGCACGGATTGAGAGACAAATAAGGGTGCCATTTTCACATTTATTTTGATCATATCAAAAGCTTGGTCCATTAATGAGAATGAACTGATCTCCATGAATGTGAAAATCATTTACACCCTTCAATAATATCCGTGTGAAGACACAGTCGCTTTTGTTAGTGTGAGGTAAGGAGCTTAAGTTTGGATTGATTTGTGTCCTTAAACGACTTAATAGTTGATTTTAAGGTGAAATATCTACTGATTCAATTATTATTTTAGTTTCGTTTTCATCCTCGAATATTTGTTTTTCAAATAATTACCAACATTATGTTTTAGTTTCATTTTAATTTTCCATTGACTATTGATGATGATGTGATATTATCTTGAGTAAAGTATACAAATAGTTCATCGACTATATAATATTATTTTGCCGAGTCTCCCGACTATCAAAAGTTACAAAATGATCTCCAACTATAGGGTGTTGCTTTATTGAGTCCTTCGACTATTAAAAGTTACAAAATGATCATCTGACTATTCATTAAATTCCAAATTTGTGTTTTTCCGTAAGAAAAATCGACGACAGTCTGAGCTGCATGTTAATATGTTGTTTGACATATGATAAAATCTGATTTCGAAATCTCAAACGACTATCATATCTAAGACAACAGACTAACATCCAACACAGATTGTTGTTAATTTTTTTAACGAAAAAATATGAGTTTGAAACATAATGAATAGTTTGCTGACTTTTGCAACATTGAATAGTTGAGGGACTCATCAAAGTAACATCCTATAGTTGATGATCATTTTATAACTTTAATAATCGAGTGACTCAATAAATTAATATCCTATAACGGAGGGACCATTTGTGTAGTTACCCTATTATCTTACACTGAAACGACAATATCACCATTAATTTTTGAATGACATGTAAAAAAATAAAATCATTATATAACATTAAAAATTATTTTAAAAATAATAATTAAGTGACCAAAACATAACTCAAGTGATAATTAGATAATTAAATAGTTTACCCTTAATCATAACTTTGGATACAAGCTGGTTGGGATTTTTTCATTTAACAATGTTGCTGAAATGATTTAAAAGATTCAGGACAACATAAACATGTTATTTCCAAAATGGTACCAAAAAAGTTGACTTCAATGTTCATTACTTTTCAAGTTATAGTACCAAAAAAGTTGTCAAACCAATGAAAACATGATCAAATTATGTTGTACAATTACCCTAGCCGACTACGTACAGACAAAATCATTTGCAAAGAACTAATAATATACAGTCACTTAATCAAAATTTAGAAGAATCGTCAAGGAACAAAACGTGGTGTTCGCAGTACCTTCCTCTGAGGCTTCTGTAAGATAACTCGATCTTTCTATCCCCGTTACTGTGGTTTCATGTCTCGCTGTCGGGTTTCCGAGATGGAGGCATCGCACCAGCCATGGTTTCCTTGGGAGTAGCTGTTGACGACTTTGATACAAATAACATCACAGTGACAAAGAGAGGCAATGGACAGAAATTAGACAGAAAGATTAAAAAAAAACTGACCATCTTGATTTGGGGATCCTGGTTCTGTTTCTCCAGGAGAGGCGGTCTGGCCCTGCTGTTTCGAAGCTGAAGCTTTTAGCTGCTCCTCTGTGATCTTTAAGTACTCTTCACTAGTATACGCCTCGTTTACTGATTGTGTGACACCTGCAGTAAGGTGACGAATCGCATGCTTCTTTATATAACTTTGACATATACAAAGGTAATCGACCACTACGTCATAAACAGGAGTGAACACTAGTCTATATGGTAGGATTTACTGCATGTTTCAGGGTAAGAGATCCGGAAATAATGTATGAAGGATTGGAAACCATAAGACAAATTCAAGACATTAATAGCCTTGAATATAAGAATATGAAGCACTTACTCGGGTCAGCCTCGCTACCAGTTTCCTCGGCGCTGGTAACTGGTGAAGGGGTTGGAGGAGATTTACTTATATAGGGGCTGTTTCTATTCGGCGTGTTCTGTGTCGAACTTGGCATTTCGTCAAGACCAATCTCCCGTTCAAGGGTGCTCTTGAATTCCCTCGAGACTTCCTTCACAGAATATAAAATGGGAAGAATTTCAGAAGGGCAAAGCTATTGCATGGTAAAGATATAAGTAAAACCAAAGGGTTCAGCCCTTACCTGAAGTTCTTTAATTGTGGGTTGGAATGCTCGCAAAGTCTTTCCCAGATTCCTAGCAACCTGCAGTTTAATAGGCCATTTGAGATGTTGAAAGGATTTAACTTGAACAGAATATTATCCTAACTATACAAGGTTCTGTTTGATAGTTTGGTTATAATATTTAATAACTTGTTCTTGATTCCTCCAAAAATTTCTAAAAGGAATACATGGATAGTAAAAAAAAAAAACTGATAGTCAACAAAAAATGAATAAGTAGCTCGAATGTGACAACCGAAACATAATTATCTCATATAAAAGGAAAGTCGCAAAATTTGTAAACAAAAGGGCTGTCTATTTTTTATAACTTTTTACTTTTAATTATAAAAAATAAGTAGCAAAAGTAACAATAAAAATGCAGACTAAACAGCTACTGGCCACATCGTGCTAAACTCCGAGAATAATCATTTACAAAAGGCATCACAATACATAAGCATATATTCAACCCTTAGATTTGAACGACTTGAAGTCCAATGGATGAAATGTGACATACATCATACGATTACCAATTCTTATCACAATACATAAGTCTATATAATTCAATCCTCAGATTTGAACAACTCGAAGTCCAATGGATGAAATGTGACATACATCATACGATTACCAAATACCAATTCTTATCACAATACATAAGTCTATATAATTCAATCCTCAGATTTGAACAACTCGAAGTCCAATGGATGAAATGTGACATACAGCATATGATTACCAATTCTTATCACGATACGCAAGTAAATGTTCAACTCTTGTAAAGTCCCCACAAGTCAACTGAGATGCTTTTAGATATATCGAGCCATTTAGTAAAATTTCAAAGAGGGATCTCAAGTAAAGACTAAAGATCAGAATCACTAAAGACACCCGCATGCTCGTCGGGAAGGCATGAGCCGGACCTAACTCAGAAAGTATAACGGAACTTAGAGTTTGAAATAGGTTAACACAATGGTGTTTTCCTTGCCAGATAATGGGGAAGTCATTGGAGTAATGTAGTCAACAAAGATCGCCAACGGAATGCATTAGCTTAGATGAAAATGTTTTCACATAAGGGGCAAAAAGCCATTATCTTGTCAAAGAAGCACCAGATTAACTATGATAAAAGCAGCAGGCAGTAAATTTCTGTGTGTCGACAGAACAAAATACGATTTCATCTCAACAAAAAGGATTCACCAACTATCTTTTTATAAATATACCAATCACCCTTTAGAAAATTCTAACCATCTAATACTATATCTTTACCATCACTCACTGATTGTTGATTAACCAACTGGGGATTATTCATTACTTGAAGCATTGAATGGAGATTAATATTTGAAACTAGCTGCCATAAGGCCTATGTTTCCAAAGCTTATCACTTACCATAATCCAATACCCGCATGAAATTACAAAAATGGAACTGTATAAACACATAAATCTATATGAAGGGCACAAAAAGTAAGGAAAATCATCAAATATTACAAATCAAAAAAGGAGCAAGTGATGTAAAATGAGCATACCTCAGCCAAACCCTTGGGACCAAATACCAACAAAGCAACCACCCCAATAACCAGAGCCTCAGGAGCTCCAACCCCAAACAAAGATGCATGGACCACCTTTCCTTTACTTCTTCCCCTTCTTTCTGAAACACCCCCATTTCATTGGGAAAAAAGAAGATTTGAGGATCAAATAGAAAGAAGTTTAGAGAAAAAGCGTAGAGCTGAAAAGAGAAGATACCCAATTTAAGAGATTTTGGTGAGATTGAAATGCCCAGATGCTTTAGACCAGTCCATTGAGAGAAAATGGAAGGACCCAATTGAGGAAACCACGTGGAGAAACGGAAAGGCGAGGCTTTTCGATGTGAAAGCAAAGGAGACAAGCAGCAATTCGCCGACTTGGAGGTAGCAAAAGATGTGCATAAGGATGTTGAAAGTGAGATGGAGGACGCCATGGCCATGGACATGGAGATGAAAGAGGGTAACTCTACTTCTGAACTTAGATTTTTGGAAGCAAGGACATGGAGGGGGACCAAAAAGGTTATCTGGAATAGGGAGCTTACTTGATCCAAGCCAGATTCTAGCTAGTGGACCCTTAGTGGCTTGGCGGGTCGAGACCTCCGGCACTTTATGTTTGAGTTAACCCAAATACATGGGCTTGTTCGCAATGTTTACACCATGTACGGATAGATTGTTATAAAGCAAAGGAAATTATAGTTTTTTAAAACAAACTACACAAATGATCCCTTAATTATAGGGTATTATTTTATTAAGTCATTCGATTATTAAAAGTTATGAAATGATCTTTAGACTATTGAGTGTTGCTTTATCGAGTCCATTGACTATAAAAGTTACAAAATTGTCACTTGACTATTCATTATGTTTCAAACTCGTCATTTTCCATTAAAAAATTGGCGACATACTGAGTTGTACATTAACTTCATGACTAAGATATAATAAATTATTATCTCATAATCTCAAACAACTATCATATCTCAGTTAGCATATTAATGTCCAACTCAGATGGCCGATAATTTTTAACATAAAGATACGTGTTTGGAACATAATGAATAGTCAAGTGACTATTTTATAACTTTTAATAGTCGAGGGACTCAACAAAACAACCTCTATAGCCGAGGTACCATTTTGTAACTTTAAATTGTCAAGAGACTTAACAAAACAAGATCTTATAGTCAAAAGATCATTTGTGTACTTTACTCTTTTTAATTTTTTCCCATGGTTTCTTAAGAGTTTGATGCTCCTAAAACCTATTTATCCCCCCGCTCTTCTTTTTGTTGTTCTTAGAATACTGATGCAAGACATATTTTAAAGCACGCACGTAAACAACACTAGAAAAAGCCCTAGAAAACAAATATATTTGAAATTCCATAGCAATCATCTATCAAACCTAATAGAAATGAATCTTAAATTCATAAATACTAACTAGTATATTATCACTCAAACGAGGTGGTTTGTGCCGAGCACAATATAGACTCGATCAAGGACAAATCGAGAAGGTGTAGGTGGGCAGTCGTCTCTAAAAATTTCAAATTCTTATATATTTTAAATATTTTATTTGTATTTTCTATTGAAAATTTGTTTTCTTTCCCTAACATGAAATCACGTATTCATATGGAAGATACCAAGTAGACAGTGATTTGAAATTAGAGCATTTTAACTAACGATTTTCATTCATAGAGAGGTCTTTTTGCCTTAAAATAAACATTAAAAGCTAAAATACTAAAAAAAAGAATAAGAGTCAAAATCAATATTTCATCAAACGTTAAGGATTGTTGTTCATTTTATTGAAGATGCCTACTCTGAAATTTTATTTATGCTCACCCTATACGATTTTTTTGTTATTAATACATATGTGTCCACCCTAAAATATATTTCTGAATCTACCACTGATCTCTGATGCTCGAATTTAAGACCTCTAAGAATAATACTAGTATATTATCACTCAAGTGAGGTGGTTTGTGCCGAGCACAATATAGATTCAATTAGGGATAAATCGAGAAGGTGTAGCTGGGAACCTCCCCTGTAGTATATTATCACTCGATAAACATGTATTTGTATATATACTTTTGGATCCCAAAACTTTTGCGCAGCTTTAAAACCGAGTAAAAAGGATCCATGAAATTCATGTTTTCTTTTTCTCAGAAATAGAAGTGCTTACCGGGAGGAGAAGGATTGATGGAAAAGTTTGAGCTAGTGATGGAAAATTCCGAAGGGATCGCATGATCCAATGATTGAAATGAATCAACCGAAGATGATAACAATTCATCGGTAAATCTATGTCCACATGATATCAATGCGATCCCTTCGGAGCTCTCCACCTGCACCGAGAAAGTAATAAACTGGATTTTCTTTGCCGACGGTGATGAGTTTGGGTTTTCTTTATAGGAGAAGAAAAAGAGTTCAGCGCAGCTCTTTCCCTGACGTTACTCAACGCCACGCCCGTTATCGTACGTTCACGCATTTGGCGTGATGGGAAGTTAGGCTGCTTCAAATTTAATTTTTTTTAAAGGGAAAATTATATTATAATACCATGATTTTATCCCAACAATTCATAATACGTTGTTTAAGGGTTAATTGCGTTGATACCTTCTCATTGTTGCCGTGTTTTTACGTTTAGGTTACTTCTCTTCTATTTTATTTATTTATTTTATTCGAATTTATTGTACTAATCTTGCAATTTCCCCTTTTTTAATCACTAACATTTTAATTTTTATTCCAAAACATTAAATTCGATCTTACTGTAACCCGTCCCAAGGTATGACCCACATTATTGTGTAGGGGTGTAAAAGAGCTGAGTCTAGCTCGAGTATTGCTAAGCTCGACTATGGAGCTCGACTCGACTCGAAAACTTGCGAGCTTAAAATTTTCAAGCTTGACTCGAACTCGAAATCCTGAACTGAAGCTCGTGAGCAGCTCGAAAAGGCTCGAAATGAAAAAAAGATTCTTAAACTTAACTCGATTGAAGCCTCAAACTCGAACATGAACCTTAAATACATGAAATCTTACTGTTTTTTTTTTGAAAAAATCAATACATAAATATTATTATTATTATTAATTTATTTTTTTTAAATAAAATCTTAATATATTATATTTTCGAGCTGCTCACGAGCTTTTCGAGTCAAATATCGAGTAGCTCGTTAAGAACTCGAGTCGAGTCCATTCGATCCGAGTATTTATCGAGCCTTGATCGAGTCGATCTCGAATGGCTCGCGATCTGTCTCGTCTCATTTACAACTCTATTATTGTGGTCCAGGTAAAATTTAATTTTTAATCACTAAATATTGATTTCACTAATTTCTTAAATTTCATACCGAATTAATTTTACGACCTGACGATGACCCGTCCTGAGATACGACCCGTGTTATTTACGATCCAAATAAAATATTAAAACTTACCCCTAACTGTATTTATGAAAATTTACATTTTTTTCTATTTACATTCCATTTTTTTAATTTTCGGTAATTTTAATTTATGCTATTTAATTTCTAACATTTTAATTTTTTTTGTCAATTTGGTCTTTTGACGACAATTGTTTGTAAATTATTTCTTCTCAGCAATTCTTTGACTTTTTTATACTCTCATCAATACTTTACTCTAAAAATATATCATTAAAATATAATATTATAAATATATTTTATAATTTTAGATTGTATTTAATATATTAAATAAAATTATAATGTGAAAAGACTATAAAGAAATATATATATATATATATATTATTAGAGAAAACCAAAAAATTAGAATCAATCCTTTTCATAATACTATAAATAATTATAATAAAATTTATATAAAAACTCGAATAATTCGACTCGTCAACTCAAGATTTTTTAAATCAATGCTCATCCCTACCTCATATATATTTATACCACCTAAGCAAGTAGGCTTATGGCCTGCAGCAGCGGCCCCAAGTTTGTAGCCCAAACTTTAAAGAGTAAATGAAGTAAGAATAGGCCGGGGAAAAAACATTTGCCTATAAGGGCCCAACCAGGATCGAACCGGTGACCTCTGCAGTCAATTGCTCTACCACTGAGCTATGGACCCCTGTTGAACCTTCTTCTAAAACAAGCTTTTTAATAAATTATATAACCCGAATAAAACTCATCCCCTAGACTCACTTCCTTGATCTTGAAAGTAGTAGCGAAGGAAACCACTGTTTGTTTTGTTTCCCTCTTCCTCAGTCTAGTTCGCAAAAGTAACCACCCCCTTAAAAAGTGCGAGCGATGGCGACTCCGTCCGGCATCAAATACGCCGTCCATCTAATCACCACTCACTTCGGCGATCTCGTCGCCGTAAATAAACCTAAGTCTTTCTCTCTTCCGCATTCAGTTTATGCCTATAATTGTGTACATTTATTTATGAGTTTATATAAAAGTTTCTGATAACTAATGACGGTGGCAGTTTAAAGTTCGATTCTGTTTGCTTTTGTTTATTTACAGAAAGTCTGTGAGTGTCTTCTCCGGAGAGGACCGTTAACTCTCCAAGCCACAGTCCGGTTTACGGAGCTCACTTCTTCTCAAGTCAAGAACTGCCTACTTGTTTTGATTCAACACAATTGCGTTCAAGCTTTTGTTCTCGAACAATCTGGTTCTCTAATTCTTCTTCGTTTTTCATTTGTATATTTATGTTTCTGTTTGGCTGCTAAGAATGTGAGAAAAGTAGGGTTTAGGTTTAATCCCCCCTATCTGGATTAGTTGGCAATGGGATTGCAAATGGTTCTGAATCTCAAAATTGAATTGAATTTGGTAATATTCTGCCTTCGTTTATAATTTGTTTGTTTAAATTAATTTGCAATGGAATGTGCAGTTGAGCATGGAGATGCTGCAAAAGTTAACACTGAGTACATAGCATTGTTCGATAACATATTCCACCGGTGGCGATTTCCCAAATTCTTGACTATTGTCTCCCAGAATCTTGATAAACAAGTAAACTCTTCATTACTACTAAATACTAATATTGTTAAACTAAGACTAAAGCTCTGTTTAGTTGGCGCTTTTGCTATCTGTTCCTTTTTTCCCCTTTAAAAAATCATCGAAAACAAAAAGGAAAGGAATTTGAAAAGTAGAAAACCTAAGGCAAATATAAAAGGCATCAATCAAAGAGAGCCTAAATAAACATAGATTCTTTAAAACTTCATTATATTTTTTGATGTGTTTTTGTAGTGTATTGATCTGTTGGAGGCTTTGCTTCAGCACGGAAGGCTTACCCTCAAACAAATGTCTGATCGAGCAAAATCGAGTCAAAATGAAGGCAACTTTTTCAGAATTCCATGTTTACTTTCTATTTCTTCAATATATACTAAAGTTACTCTTTTGCTTGAAAGGAGTTAGGAATTGATTGGATACTGAGCTTGACCTAAGTGATTATTTAACCGTAATTCAATTTATTCATGTCCATTTAATATATTTTCATATTTTTTCTAGGAGATGATGTAATTTTGGATTCTGTCCAAGAAGCCATTATTAAGTTACTGAATGCTCGTTTTATTGAACGGTGCCCTGCTTCTGAACCAGTTCTCACTAACCCAACTAAACAAGAACTTAATGCAAGAAAGCGAGCAGCTAAATCTGGCAAGGTATCTATTGATTAACGTCAAATTAGTATGTTATTGCTTTTGTGCAAAAGTTGGGCTAGGCAAGTGGTTTTCTCTGGTGATAGAAACATCATTAGAGGATTGGTATTGGAAACGATGTCTATATGGTACAGTCCTACCCTTCAGGACTACTATTGAAGCATACTTAGGTAACACTAGTTCATAATCAAAATCAACTGTCTTGTTTCTGCATTCCTGAAATGTTTTGGCCCCTATATACTGGTATAATGCATCCTTAATTGGGTTTTTAGTGACTTCGGGTCAGCTAATTTCTGAGTAAAATATTCTGTTATGTTGATGTGGGTTTATGTAGAGCTGTTGTCACATGAACCAAGCAAGCGTAACAAGTATATATGATTCTTTTTCCATTAAAGCAGACTATTGTAGGCTTGCAGCCATTCATATTCTATTTAATGTGAATGGCCTCTTGATATCAACTTGTACCATCTAAATTTTATCCTGAATAAATGAGACTGAGGAGTATCTTCAATATATACTTTTAGATTCTTGAAGAACAAGAAACATTAGAGCAACGTGTTGTGGAAGCTGCTGCACCTCCTGAAGCACTAAGATTTTTGCTTCTAACACAAACTGAACCTGCTGCTGAAGGGAAGGGTGAGACCAGTTCCCCTACTGTGACACCTGGCGAGAAGGTTGGCTTAAGACATTTCATTTGATGTGATTCACTTATTTGTATGCTAATTTGAAATTTCCCCATCTTTTATAGCGCAAGCATGATGCTTTAGAGTCAGAATATGGGGCTACAGATGAGCAAGTAGTTCTTTGGCGTGCTAATTTCGAGGAATTTATTCGACGTCTTAGGCATAAGGTCAGTTTACCTTATGATTTGTCATTTGAATTATGCTTTTGAAGTTTTGATATGTCAAGAATATTTTAGTGTTTTTATCACTCGAGGGATGATAGGCTTCACGCTAATCATGTATAATCCTATTGTAAGTTATGAAGTTGTTCATGCTAATTATGTATAATCCTAGTGTAAGTTATGAAGTCGTGATAATAGGAATGGGCTAATGGTTGCCAGTACTAAGCATTGCATTTCGTATATGTAAATGAAATATATTGCTAGTACTATGTATAATCCTAGTGTAAGTTGTGCACAATCTCTAGGCTTGCATCGAGAACGTGAAGACGCGCCTGGATGATGGAGCTGTTACTGTCTTAAAAGCGATGCTCGAAGCAACTAGAAGCGCAGAGAAGAAGGTTAAAACAGAGAATTCAGGTCAGCTGATCTTCAATATGCTTGCTATTTATTTTTGAGCACCTACAATTATGTATTTATTTTGCTGCCAAATTAATATTCAGATATGTTTCTCTATTTCTATAATGCGAATATGGATCTAATACAGTATTACTGTATTAGTGCGAGGACTGGAGTTATTCTGTCATGTATAGAAATTATAACTTACAGATGAAATGCTTTAGTTTTCAGCTTTTTTTTTAATAAAAGTTGGTCTCATTAAAAAAAAACCCTTCATGCTTTTTAGAACACTGTCAAGTATCCAAAAAGTGGCGGAAGGAGAAAAAGAGTACCTCAGATTTTATTACCATCTTAAATCCATACAAGAAGTTGAAGTACAATATCGTCCTCTAAACTCTCCTAATAAGAGTAGGACCACATTCAAACATAGTTCAAAAAAGGCATCCTAATAATAAACAAATCCATAAAGAACAGACTCTTCTACCCTATTCCTTTTTTTTCTAGTTCGCCCGCTGTCGCGTTAACACTCCTCCTAACACAACGAAGTACGACTACCCTTTCCTTAACAATTTTTGCAATGCCTTTAACCAATTCCATAAAGGGTAGTGGACATAATATAGGATCTTTTATCCACCCTACTGCTATCCTGCTGTCGCTCTCCACAATCAACTTGTTCCTCTTGCTAACTTCCATGTCTAAGAATGTCAAGATGCCTTGTTTGTTGGCTAATAATTCTGCCAAAATAGGGGAACCTTGCCCAACAGCCTTAGAGAACGTAGCTAGACAGTGCCCGCTCTGATCCCTATATAAACCGCCAATACCCCCTCATTCCCAAGAGTTCTTCGTAGCTCCGTCCACATTTACCTTGATAAACCCAGGCGGTGGAAGAGACCAAATCTCAATTACCGTATTTTGGATTGCAGCTCCTATCACGTTGTCAGCCAGCAGAGGGTCACTGACCAAACTGTCGAAAGAGATGCTACCGAAGGATGGTATGCTTTAAACCATGACACTAAGCGATACTTTGTTAGGAAAAACAACACAACATCTATATGGCTGTTCTGAAAGATTATTTCATTCCTGGCTTTCCATATGGACCAACACACAGCAGACTGAATGAATTTCCAGATTTCACTTGATTTAGCCTTTATATCATTATGCCACGAAACAAGAAAAGAAGAGATATCACCTGGAAACACTGTTGAAATTCCCCAGAAGCTAATAATCCGATTCCATACTTCCCTGTGACCTTGCAGCTTAAAATAAGATGATAAACAGCCTCTATTTCCTGCTTGCATAACGAGCATAAGGAATCCGTAATTGCCCTTACACCTCGCTTCATTAATTCTGCTTTAACAGCAACTCTTCCATTTACCACCTGCCATAGAAAAACCTCCACCCTTGGAGGAGTGATTCCCATCCAAATATACCTACTCCATTCAATCTGGTTGGTTCTCATTTTGGCGAGGATGGCTCCCACTGACTTCACTGTGAACGAACCGTCCCCATTCCCTGACCAAGATAACCAATCTGTTTCTATGTCGCTTGATCTAAAGCTGCTCAGCTAAGCCCAAGACCGAAGGAGGATGAGATCTGATTTGGGGAAAAACTTCTTGGCCCAAGTCCTTTCCCCTGTTTAATGTAAAATCCACGTGACTTATTTGGCACAACCCTTCTACTTCATCAAGTATATCTTCCTCGATTTCCTCACTCTGGAAACTTCTCCGGCCGACACAATTTACTGAGCCTAATAATTCCCTATTTCGTGAAGTTTCCTCTGATTGTTCTTTAGACAGTACTGTTTTAGGATCTATAGTATGCCTCTGGTCCAAAGGACCGATCTGTTCGCAAAATCTCTGATCTCGGTACTGTTTCTTAATTGCTTTATTTATTCTCAACCTCTGATTGTTCTTTAGACAGTACTTTTAAAATTTATTGGACTTAACAGTTGAAGTTTAGTAGTTGGATCAGATTTTCTTGTTGTTCAGTGCTTTATTTTTCAGCTTTAAGAAACTACTAATACATCCACAGAGTTTTTAAATTAATCTGAATCATGTTGCTCTGACTTTTCATTTTCTTGTAGTACTCATGCTATAGAGCTTGGAAAAAATGAACATGTCTGTGCTGGACGCATGTCGTATCTTTCACCCGCACTTTATTCTAAGTAACATAGATCTTAATAATATGTGAAAAGAGGAGGTGCAAGATGCTTTGGCTCTATTGACTGAGCAATATATCTCAAAAGCCATATATAGCTATTTTGGCATAATTAGGAAAGGCAGTCAACTTAGTTCAACAGAAAAAGAATAAAAGAGTTATTCCCTTGGTTCATGCAACATTTCTTTTATTACCTCTTCTATTATTGATGATCTGCATTTGCAGTTCCACTCTCACTGAGTTCCATTTATGAAGAAGCGATAAAGAGCGAAGAAGGTCGCAATATAACCTTTGATCGCGTTAGAGCCTCCCTTATTCAGTTGAGTTGCCCTCCGTTTGTAATAGCAGCCAATGAGTCATATAGTATCGGTTTGTATGCCTTTTTTCTCATTCTATCTTTGTTTTGACTGATTAATTTGTTTTATATTTCTGGTGACCCATTGTTGTTTCTTTTTCAGATTTCAAGAAAATAATTGAACTGGCTCAGAATGAGGAGGTTTTTCTGATTGCAGTGTTGGTTAAAATAGTTGAGTTGCTCATGCTTCGTTCTGTTAACTGACAATTAACATATCTTATATTGCAGGTGGAGTCTATTGTGTTGAAAAGATATGGAAAAGATGCATATAGAATGTTCCGGTTACTGTCGAACAGCAGTCACCTACTTGAAACTGATAAGGTAACAATCCTCTACCAGAGATAATAAGTGCAGACTTTTGTCATGGCTATTCACTACACATGGCATCAGTTTTAAGAATGTTTCTGAAATTTTTGCTGCACTGGAACTTTTTCATTTTACGTTTTAGGGCTGTAAACAAGCTGAGCTTCAACAAATAGAACAAACCTATATTCATGTTTGTTCAACTTGCTTTACATCAGCATGTGTTTAGGGAAATTTATCAAGCTTGACTCATTTAAAATTGGATGTAAAAGCATTTTTTGTCCATTAACTTTAAACAAACATATTTGTGAACATATAATCAAATATGTTTGGTTGAGTTAAATGAAATTGTTTATGAACATACAATTGAATATATTCACAAAAAAGCATGTTCATGAACAAAAAACATCTATCAACAAATTTTAACATTATTAACTTACAATATACATATATTAGCAATAGCAAATTAGCAATTAAAAGTTGTATTCATAGAAGTCTAGATCTCTCGATTAAAGCCATATAAAAAGAAAATTAAGAAATCTTCATTACAACTGAGAGCATTCAAGTTCCAACTACTAAACTTCAAATTGTTAAGTCCAATAAAATTTAAAACACAAATCTTCACTTTTTTAGTTTCAGGGGAGCACTATCTCCATGTTTGCAGCCATACAAAAGTAGAGAAGTTTCTTCACCAAAAGCAAAATTTCCATATGACAATTTTGTTTCACCTAAAAAAGGTTGAGAATAAATAACCTTCAAATTTTGTCAAAGCTCAGAATAGAATTCGTTCTCTTCTTTACTCTATATAAAAACTTAATGTTGGATGAAAAACTCTATAAAATTTTAAATTAAATGAGAATTCCGTACTATTTTCTTGCCACTTACCACAAATGACCTGCAAGTCTTCTTATGATTGAAAAGACTTAAGTCTCTCAAAGTAAATTACCCAGCATGATAAAACCTGGTGTTTTTGTCTTCATTTGCAGAACTCCATACTGTTTTCTTCACTTAAGCTGTCATATATTATATTAAGTTACTTAAATATGCACTAGTCACTCACGTTCAGACAGATATGATTCAGTGCTCTAGAGATGACATCTGAATCCACACGAGGAAATAAGGGCTAAGTTTAAAATTGGCTCAAGTAGCCCGAACATTCTTCCAACACAATAAACTGGAACATTATTTTAAGGCTCCCTCCCATAATTTTGTTCTCTATTTGAGGTTTGGATTCATTCATTCAGCAACCCTCTGGTTATTTAAATTTCTACATGCAGACAACGAATATCAGTCTAGAAGCCACTCATATCTGTGTCTTTATCTTCCTTGGATACTGGCTGGTGTGGAGGCTATGGAGAGCTAAAGAGGAAGAAGAAAAGAAAAATGGAGTGATGGGTGGTCTGAAAGAGTGAAATGATTGTTGGTGCTGGTGGCTGGCTATTGACTGGGATGAGATGAGAGGCAACTAGTGATAGGAGTTTTGATTCAGAAGGGGGTAAAAAAAAATAAGGTTTCAGTTAGTATAGTGTAAAATGAAAATTCCTAAAAAGTATAAAATATTAATAAATATATCAATAAATAATGAAATGATAATAAAAAAACTTGTTATTACATCATAATCGAACAATAAATAGTTTTAAACAATAATTTAAATGAATCATAAACGAGTTTGTTTGTGAATGTAAATAAATGGAACATTCCTTGTTCAAGCCTTAAAATCTTGTTGAAAATTGTTATTTTAGCTTGAGAAATTAATATATACAAACACAATTCAAGTCTATTTCTATTATCCAAAAAAAGATTTGTCCATTCAACTGTTGAAAGCTTTTCTCAATTTTAACCCTTTCTGTTTCCTTATAGTTTCATGTTGTAGATTGCAGATGCCGCATTTGTTGAAAAGAAGGAGACGCCAAAAATCCTTTATAAACTGTGGAAGGATGATTATTTGCACATGGAGGTACAAGCCTTTTTTTTTTGCCCCCATGAGTAAACACATTAAATTAAGCATGTTTTCTGTCACCTCTCAACTCTTACCTCAAATTGTTTTAAAGTGATTATATTGGACCCAATTGAATTAATCCTGTTGTTTGAAGTAAATATTCCAGACTTATTCGTTTGAAATTTAACACTAATCAACAGGACAACTTGAAGTTAATTTCAAGTATGATAGTCTTTTATCAGAAGTTGGAATTGTTTGAAAATTCCTCAATTTAAAACAAAGTGAATTGGAATGCATCTTATAAATGATTGCAAACAACCGAATGAACAATTTTCAATTGGAAAACAACCTTTATCTGCTAGGTATGATATTTAAGCACTAATAGGATTGAAGCTATGATTTTCACAGATTGACGTTTATCTTGGACGTTCTTTTGGGTAATAAAGAAAGTTCATGTTTTAATTGTGGATCCGAAGGGTCATTACGTTATCGGTTGGTTATGTGCATTAGTAGTTGTGTTGGTCATCCTGGAAAAGGAGGAGAAAAGTAGTTTATCATATGCTTTTGCCATGTCAAGTAGACAATGGTTTAAACACTCTAATTTCGTTTATTATGACTCTGTTTCTCTCTCTCTGAAGAGATTACAAGTAACAGGAGCTAAAAGACTACAACAGTTCCTGTTGTGGAAAGTGAACAAGAATCTTATACGGGAGCATGTTCTAGATGAGATGTTCCATGCTGCCCTAAATTTGAGCCAACGAGTGGCGTTTGAATTGGAACAGGAACAGCAGGTTTGCTATGCACAAACTAATGATTTAGCATATTCTGCAGTTCATGAAATCTTCCATGTCTAGTTAAATTACCTTGCCATGGACTGTGTTTTCCAGCAAGAACAATTCAATACACCTCTCATACTAATAATATATCATGTGAATGTTCCAGCTTTTGAATATCCCGCGAGATAAACGTCTTAGCCGGCTAAGAAAAGTCCGGTTACTCTTGGAATCATCACAGATGAAGCTTGACGATGCTATCATGCTTTTCCATGACTTCTGAGGGAGCCATTTCATTGAGTAATGGAGGGATGTGCTGTTGGACGATTTATTTGTTTATTTCCTTCAATTTCAATGAACGAGCTCGTGGATATTTTAGATTGAGTCAGCTCGGCCGGTTCACGTTCTGCAATGGTTTATAAATATTACAGGACGCTCGTAATGCATGTCAAGTATCCACATTCAGCAGAGATCACAATGTATGGTTTGAAAAAAATAAGGGTAAATTATGCATTTAGTATCTAGGCTATCAGTTTTGGTCTGTTTTAATAACTAAACTTTCAATTTTTTTAAAATCATACTTAATGTTTAGTTTTGTTTCATGTTAGTAACCGTTATTAAAAATTTAACGCGTTTAGTAAAACCATCAGTTTTGGTCCGATTTAGTACTTAAACTTTCGTTTTTTTTTTCTTCCAAAACCTAGCATTAAGTTTTGAACGGGTATTAAAATTAAATTTTAGGTATAGTTTTGAAAAATAAAATAAAAGTTTAGGAATTAAAACTATTAAAATTAATAATTTAGATACTAAACGTATAATGTATCTAAAATTTAATTTTCTTTTTTATAATTTATTAATTTGATATTAAAATAATTGTTCAAACTAATGGAATATATTTTTGTTCTATAATGGCTTATTTTTTAGGTTTCGTATTGATAAGGAAGAACTCACAAGCAAGAATCTCATACTCGATCACATTTACTCCAATTGATTAAATATAATCTTTAATCAAATTAATCTTAAATAAGGATCTCATTATATAGTGAGTTTAGGTTTAGATTTCCCTCATCCATTTTCCCTATAGATATACAGTAAATACGACAAAAATTAGAATCAAATGCCTTGTACCCTAGCAACCCAGTTCATGTTAGTTCTGAAACAATACCGGACCATGTTACTTGGCCCGTTCCATCTCGGTCATTGATACCAGAACATCGAGCTCCTTTTCCGCAAAGTCCAGTCAGGAACTTGTTTCAGGCATCTAACTATGGAAGGAATAAACAGCTCCAGCCTAGAAATCAGGTCTTAAATTTAACTCCGCTTGGCATCTCAAATTTTCATGATGCAGACCGTAGTAGTGGCCGGCGTTCAAGAAATGGTGTTTCGTTCTCGTTATCGAGTTCGAATGGTTGGCTCCCTAGCATCCCTGGTAATGGTAATAATAGTTCCCAGTTTGAGCCTTATTAACAAACCAACATTGGAGTCAACACTAGACTACCTTTTATGAATGATACATGTGTTTTTGTTCCTTTTTTTTTGTGGGGGCTTGGATTAGGGATGACAAATGAGTGGGACGGGTGTAGATATCCTTTTTGCATCCTGTACCCACTTAATATTTTTATATCTATTACTCACGACGGTTAAAATTTTTAAATCGACACCCTTCAATGTGGGTATATTTTTAAATCCACTTCCACGTCCACTACACAACTAGATACTTATCACTCATCTTGTATCCTTCTATACCCGCTCATATTCGTTTGGTAGCAAACTCATAGATTACATAAATAACAAAAATATAAAACAAATTCATCCATTAAGAAGCATAATAAAATAAATGCTTGTATGATAAATAAGTATCTAAAGTATACTTTATTTTTCATTTAAGTACCTAGAGGTCTTTGTTTACAATAAATACCTAAAATTATCTTTTTAGTCAAAATAGGTACCTAAAGTATTTTATCTCAAAATAGGTGCCTAACTATTAAAAAAAATTCATCTGAGTTCTACAAAAGTTAGCATGTGGTATTAAATAAAGAATACTTTAGGTACTTGAATTGAAAAAATTGAATACTTTAAGTACCTATTTTGACCAAAAAAAACTTTAAGTGCCTATTTTGATAATATAAAAAGATAACTTTAAATACTTATTTTAACTAAAAAAATACTTTCAGTACTTAAATGAAAAAGATTGTATACTTCAAATATTTATTTGCTATATAAACCTAAAATAAGTCAAGGATTAATTCACTTTATACCCTAATATTAGGTTAAATTATAAGTCAAGTCCTATAAAATCTTAATATTTATAAAATAATCTTTGAAATTATACCTAAATTCATAATGGTCCAAAATTTATATGGTGGGTAATTAGTGGTTGGCAGATATGGGGCGGGTGGATGCGAGGCGAGCAGATGCGAAGCAAGTAAGGTCTTAAACCCATCATCTACCAACTACTCACGATGATTATGACTTTTTACCTCCTGACCCGCTCATTAACGACTAAAGTTATATCCATTCCCACTCTAATTGGTGATGATGCATTACAAAATTTACAAAATTATACTCGTTTGTCATCTCTAACTTAGGTAATGGTTGAATACATAGGCTTTTGTAATGCATAAACTTGACTTGAATCCAAACCTAAAATAATTCGATTCAAAATAATCCAACTCGAATCCTATCTAAATGAATCCATTCATCACCTCAAATTGAAATATAAATAAATTTTTTTGATTATTTTTAAAAGTCATGACTTGATCTAAATATTATATTTAATTATTTTAAAATTCAATTTATTTTAATATTTTATAATTATATTTAAATAAATATTAGAGTAAAATATACAAATGGTCCCTGATTATAGAATATTATTTTATTGAGTCTTCTGACTATTAAAATTTATAAAACGATCTCTCAATTATATGAAGTTGCTTTGATGAATTCATCTACTATTAAAAGTTACAAAATGATCACTCGATTATTCATTATGTTCTAAATTTGTCCTTTTTTGTTGAGTTAAATGTTAACATGTTGACTGAAATATGATAGTTGTTTGAGATTATGAGATCAAATTTTATCATATCTTAGTGAGCAGTTTAATATACATATCAGACTACAGTCAAATTTTTAACAAAAATGACGAATTTAGAACGTACTGAATAGTCAGATGATCATTTTATAACTTTTAATAGTAAAAAAACTCAACAAAACAACTTCAGATAATCAAAAAATTATTTCGTAACTTTTTTAATAGTTGGACGAACTTATAAAATAATATTTTATAGTCAGATACCCTAAATATTAATATATTATATAAATTTTTGTTCATTTTTATTCTGCGATCTGAAAATCTCTGAAATATCAAAGAGATGGCCTTTCTCCTTCGACAAAGCACTCTTGCGAGCCACTTCCGATCTTCTTCTCAGGTATAAAAGTATATGCTTTTTATGCGTGCATAGATCCTTGTTGCTTACTCGCTTGATTTGCTTACGATTCTATGAAATTTGTTAACCGATTAAAAGCAGAAGACAGTGGGTTCCATGTCTTTGCAAAATCGAGCATTTCATGTTGAGCTTGGGGATCGTGAGAAAGCTGTGAGTTTCCCCCTTTTCTGTATTTCTCTTCGGCTTCTTTTGCGTTTTTCCTCTTTTGATTTGCTTCTATAGCGTTTTAATGTACGATTTTTGGGTTTTATTGGTGCGATTTCATCTTTTTGAGTTGACCCATATCAATTGATGGAATTGTAGAGTGGAAGGATCCTCGTTTAAAAAGATTCTGAATGATGCTTGTTTTAATTCTTCTTGACCATGGGTTTAGGGTTTCTGTTTTTAGCTACAGAGTCATTAGATTAGATTCTTTTCATTCTTCTTGATAATGGGTTTCACTTTTTCTTTAGTTTTTTTATTTTAGTTACAGAGTCATTACGGTGAATAGAGAAATTTGCATTTGATTACTCATAATCTAATGATTCTAATTCTTCAATCAGTTTCCCTTTTTTATAGCTTGGTATGTATGTATGTTGTACCATGCTGATATGGTATATACCCTGTAGCTCTTGGCAGAGGACCCTTCGTTAAGACGATTTAAATCTTATAAGAAGAGTGTGTGGCGGCTGAAGAGAATCGGCGATGTTCTGACGATCGTTGTTGTGGCAGGTGAGGCTAATTTTTGCTATAAGTTGAATTGCTCATGAATATCACAAGAAGTTGGAACTGATTCTCTAGGATCCTAATTGGATGCTTTTAGAGATGCTCTAAATATGCGTCGAATGTTTATTTTGGTTTGAATTGATTTTTGGTAACTTTGGATATAAGACGTGATTGTAACCAGAAATGTTATTTATTCTGCAATTTTAGTCGGCATTCCGTCCTCACCTTGTCAATGGCTTGATCGTAGAATTGATTCCGTTAGCAATTGCTCTCTTCTGCCCTCCCTTACCCCTTCTTCAATGGGATTGTGAAATTATGAACCAAGTCACCATACCAAAAAAGCTTGTTGAATAATTTGATCGACTAGATGGTGTTGTTAAGATCAGAAAGAACTATAGTGTTGTTGTTTAAACAGTCGAACATCGATGATTAAACTTCTTGTATGATGGTGTCATGTTTGATTAATTTCAGGTTGTTGCTATGAGATTTATGTGAAGGCAGTACTGAGAGAAGAAGCTCGGGACAAGGCAAAGGCTGCTGGCGGAAAATAAACGAGACCGTGCGTGCTTTTGCTTCTGTGTCGAATAAAAAAGGTGTATCTCTTAGCATTTCATGTTGTTTTGGCTGCACTGTTTTAGCTTTTTAATAATTTTGGCTAAATGATGAATTAGCAAAATGGACATGTAACATTGTTCTTGTCTGTCAAATAAATATTTTTAGCGATGATTCCGAGTTGTAATCTTTCGAAAGTTGTATTATTTTTCATTTACTTTTAATCGGGCGATGATATCTTCATCTTCTCCGAGCAACCGGACACTCTTCAAGCTTGTCACTTCTTTAATGGAGATATGGAGTTTAAGAAAGGTGGTTCCTTTGAGCTGATGAAAGGTGGTTGAAGAAAGGGAGAAAAAGGCAAGGTGTTACAATTTTGGGTAAACAATACATTCAATATCTAAACTATCAGTTTTGGTCCGTTTTAATACTTAAACTTTCAATTCTTTCAAAATCATACTTAGCATCCAATTTTCATTTCAATATCTTGCCACTAAAAACTTAACGATTTTAGTATCTAAACTATCAAGTTTTGTCTATTTTAGTACTTAGACTTTCAATCTTTTCAAAATTTAACATTAAATTTTGAACGGATACTAAAATTAAACGAAAGTTAAAATTTTTAATGGCAGGTATTAAAATGAAATAAAAATTAAATTTAGGTATGATTTTGAAGAAGTTAAAAGTTTAAATATTAAAATGAATCGAAATTGATAGTTTAAGTACTATATGTATAATTTACCCTACAATCTTTGAAAGATGTTTAATAAACATAATAACTATACTCATAAGAAAATAGAACATCATCTAAAATTAAAATTGAATTGTTATGTTTTATCATTTACCGCATCTTAATTTGTATTCATTAGAAAAGTGTTGTAGCATGCTAAATTAATCAAAAGGTAATTTTTTTTATTTTGTTAAATTATTAATTAAAAATATTTAAAAAAATTATTAAAATGAAATTTTAATTATAATTGAGGAGTCAAAATAATTTTTTTTTATTAATTTAGCATGTTACAACATATTTTTAATGAATACTTATTTTGTAATAGAATCTAACCTTTAATATTTATTATACAACTTTTTAAATTTATGCATTAAAAAATATTTTAACATATTTTAATGTTTATTTATATATTTTATTCTCTAAAATTAATATTAAGATTCATGTAGGATTTTTCATAATTATAATAGTATTTGTAAAAACTTATGAAATGGTAGAATTTCCCATAATTATAAGGCTTAATATATTTTTAAGTGCTTAAATTATATCTCAAATTAACTTTTGGTGCTTAAATAATTATTTGTTAAAAATAGGTGCATAATATTTTTTTCGTTACATTTTTTGATGCATATTGTTAAAAAAGTTAAGTGAAGTGACACACGTCATGTTTATATATATATATATTTTTTATTTATTTTTAAATAAAATATTGTTCAAATATTTTTTTTTAAAAATATGAAGTTGACATGTGTCACTTAACCGTTTTCTTAACGATATGTACCTAAAATATTGTTCAAATTGACTTTTAGTGCCTAAATAATTTTTCGTTAAAAATAGATTCCTAATATTTTTTTCCCGTTACACTCTTAAGTGCTTATTGTTAAAAAAGTTAAGTGAAGTAACACCTGTCATATTTATATATATATATTTTTTTTTATTTTTTAAAAAATAAAATATTATTCAAATATATATATTTAAAAAAAATGAAAGTGACACGTATCACTTAACCGTTTTCTTAACGATATGTACCTAAAAGTGTGACAAAAAAATATTGAGCACTTATTTTTGACAAAAAATTCTTTAGACACAAAAAAAAATTAATTTGAGGTATAGTTTAGGCACTTAAAAGTGTATTAAGCCTCATTATAATAATATTTGTAAAAGAACACAAATGATCCCTCAACTATAGGATATTGCTTTATTGAGTCTCTTGACTATTAAAAGTTGTAAAATAATCATCTGATGATAAGGAGTTACTTTGTTGAGTCCCTCGACTATTGAAAATTACAAGATGATCACTTGACTATTCATTATGTTCGAAACTCGTCTTTTTTCGTTAAAAAAACAGTGCTCTTCTGAGTTTGACGTTAACATGCTGACTAAGATATGATAGTTGCTTGAGATTACGATATTATATTTTTTTCATATCTCAGTCAGCATGTTAATGTACAACTCAGAATGTCGATAAATTTTTAACGAAAAAATATGATTTCGGAACATAATGAATAATCGACTGACCATTTTATAACTTTTAACAGTCAATGGACTCAACAAAGCAACTCCTTATAGTCGGAGGACCATTTTGTAGTTTTTAATAGTTTGATGACTTAATAAAGTAGTATCATATAGTCAGGGGACTATTTATGTACTTTACCCTATTTGTAAAGACTAATTAAACTTATTGTGGAAAAATGGTTCAAGGATTAGGGTATAGAGTCTGTGGCTCCAAATCTTATTTAAGGCAGTAATTTCAATTTTCATATTCGGCGTTTTGGTAACTCTCTCTCTCTGTTTACACAGTTAACTTTCTTTCTTCCCAAGCAGGGTTCACAAGACTGTAACTGCTTCTCTTCTCCTTCTTTCCCAGAAATTCAGATCAAATCTTTGTTTTTCGACCAGAACTAAGCAAACCAACGAGCAGCTGTAGCTTTCTTGAGGTAATTTATCTTTGTCTCTCTTTTTTTTTTGCGTATCAGAATATATGATTATAGTCTTTCTTTAGACTGTGAGATGAAAGTCGGATCAACGTGGATCTTTTCTTTAATGGGCATGTAAAGATGGAGGATCTGGTTAAAATTGAGTGAACCCGAATTTCTTGCGAGTATCAAAGTTTGATTTTGTTCTTCTTTTCGTTTCACGGGTTGGTTCCTATTTTGGCGTCTTTGAACTGGAATTGTTAAATTTAGATCTTCTAGTAGAACTTAGAGTGAACAAGGTAGATAAGTTTCTTTGTAACAAAGGGCTCTATGCTGGCAATTGCATTGGAATTTGGTAATTTGGGGCATCAGTTTTCATATCGTGTGTTCCTATATGTAACCCCCTTAATGTTAGGCAGCGGGCTAAAGATGTGAATAGACAATAGCCGGAAAATAATAGTATGAAGAGTCTTGACAATGGTCATTAACTGGAAAAGATTGCGGAGGGTATCATTACGTTTGATGTTCGGTTATGGAGATTTCTTGGTGTTAGATTTTTAGATTTGCCCAAATGAGTCCAGTTGGTTGATAACCTCCTAAGTTTCGATGCTTCTGAAGCACACTATGGTTTGGACCTTAATTACTGTTAATGCATTATGCACCCGTGCTTGAATTTATGTGAATAAAACATATTCTAATATGTATATGTTCTGTTTTCGTATGTGAATAAAATGAGTTTCCATGATTTTAAACACTTCATTTTTCTCGACTTCCATGAGGATTATTGCTGTGTTAGCTGTTCTAGAGGACCAGATGTACATTTCTATCCACTAACGGTTTCTGTCATTACTCAACCTTCTATATGCACTATGTAGGTTTGGTGATTCTGTAGAAGTCCTTGGAGATAGTGGAAAACCTGGTGGAATGGAAGAAAGTGACCGTGTTGCAAGAAGATGGGAGGACCTAGACATTGATATCTTGGTGAAGATCTTCCAGTCTTTTGACATCTATCAGTTAACTTCAGGCATTGCTCAAGTCTGCAGTTCATGGCGTATGGCTTGTTGCGATCCTTTGCTTTGGAGAACACTGGATTTGTCAACGATGAAGTCAAATTTTATCAAAATTCCATTGGAGCCTTACGTATACGTGGATGCTCGTTCCGACAAGGCATTGACCCATTTGTTGAAGACATCTTTGAGTCTCAGCCAGGGAAACATAATGACCTTGATTTTTCACTTTAATCTATATGTGAGTGATGATCAGCTGACCTATACTGCTGAAAGGTAATTTTAGTGAATTTTATTTATTTATTTATAATCTTCTCTAGGTTCATACAGTGTTAACAATTTCGTCCGGCGTTCGCAGAGCCTCCTTTTTTTGGACTATATAAATCAGTCTTTTCAATTTTTATTTTTTATTATTATTTGGGGAGTTCTTGAAGGTTGTCATTACAATTTTTTCCTCATCATTATGCTATTCCGTTGCATGCAGCAATAGGTGATCTTGATTTTCTTACTGCAGGTGTCCACGGCTCCGACGACTTGTCATGCCGGCTTGGAACAGAATAAAGAAAACGGGAATATGCAAAGCTGTTCGCGTCTGGAAGGATCTTGAATCCCTAACAATGCCCAGCATAGCAAACCCTCCCTATCTCTTGGAAGAAATTGCCAATAACTGCAAGAATTTTATTGAACTCAAGGTGATGGGACCTTTCGACAACTTTTTTGCTGCCACGATAATAACGTATCTACCAAATATAAGGGTTTTGAGCCTCCGCTGCTCAATGCTTGTGAAGGATACTTTGATCTCCATATTGGATGAGTTGCGAAACCTAGAAGTGCTCAACATATCCCATTGCCTTCTCATCGAAATACCACCTCCTCCTGCTCCAAGACGAATTATGAGGGAGCTAGATCAGTCTATTCTTGATAAGGCATCTCGGTTACGCGAATTCCTAACGTGCATGAAAGATTCATGCATCATGTGTCAGCGGACTCGAAGTGACGAAGGGCTAATGAGGTGGTATAAGTACGAAGAAGGGTTATGGAAAGCTGATGAGGTGAGCTCACTTTGCCTTTGATTTGAGCCCTTGGAGTTTGTACTTACGAGGGTGAGATACGTACAACTTGATAAGCTCATTCTTGTACTTGTGATGGATAGTGTCCTATATCACCACTCTTATGTGGTTGGGTTGGAACCTTAGCTAGCTTCCTTTGGTTTGGTTAAATGTATTCCTTTTGTGCTGTAAACAAATAAGAGGTTGTTGAATGCATATGCTTGAAAAGTGTCTTTTATCGAACCAAGACCAACCCGAATTTTGGCTGGACCGAAAGCAAATCAAATTGAAACTGACCCGAATCAAAAGCAATCCAAATCGAAAACAACCCGAACTGAAAAATCTCAAATTGAAAGCAACCCAAATTTAATTTACCTATATTCGCTCCAAATCAAACTTTGATCCGATTTTAACCCGATAATTAAATCTAAGTGAACAAATAATTTATTTGTTTATTATCTATTTATAACAATTTGATAAATAGTAGAATGATTAATATTGTATTCTCATTTTATATTGTACTACTAGTTAACCACCACCTTTAATAATAATTTAACTCGATAATTGAATTTACGTGACCATTTTGATACTTTACCCTAAAAATATTCAAACAGAGTAATCCTAATTTTATTATTTACGAGACAATGTAGTAGTTTTAATTATATAAAATTATTTTTGTTATATTATTTTTATTACTCATGGTAATCTAATATAATATCATTAGCAATAATGATCTATTTTTATTAGGCAATCATCATTACAATTAAATCCAAACCCATCTCGAGGTATTAGATTCCTTAAGTAAGGTTTAAGAGTTCGAACCTTGGAGATTGCGAATGGAGCAAATTGGGTTGGGAGGGTCACCCTTGCCTCTGTAGTATCCGATCCAGATTAGTCAATCAATAGATCAGATACCGATGGTTATAAAAAAAATCCAAACCCATCTCACACCATTATAGTAATTAACTTAAACCACGTTACTATTTTATAATAAAGGTGCAAACGAATGAAGAAGAAAATTACAAAAATAAAGACAAATTTTGCAATGTTTATAATTTGGTCCTTTATAACTTGAATAGTTTAACAGATCAGTTATGAGTTGTGCATCTAAGAGGTCCAACAAGTCACTGTTTATATATATATATATATATATATTACAAATGTCAATTTAGGCATGAAGTCGAAGTACTTAACATGTTACTGAAAGGGCAGCTTTGATCCTCTCAACTTGGCCTGATAAGAGTTTGCTAACACTCTCAACTGATTCCACTGTTAGCTTCCCACCAGGACCCTTCACCAAAATTTGAAATCCAACTGTAAGTAAGCATCCACTACTTGTACACCGATCAGTCTCGTGTTCCGTCCAACATCGATCGGAGTTGCTTTGCGGCTCAGCACCATGACCACTAGGAAGAATTGCAAATCCTGATGGTAACATTATCACCTGCGACGAATCACTGCCCTTCATGACTGCACTAATTGAGGGTACATCCACAGGTGAATACACAATCAGTGCACCGGATGCATCACTCCATGTTTCCTGTAAAACTAGCGTGGCATTCTTAGTGAGATCGCTACTAAAGAGAGCGACACAGTCGCCTTCTCCTGGTCCCTTGGCAATATTGATTGTCAACTGCATTGATATGCCATTGGACAAAATGTCCCACTGACACCGCATCCGTGCGTCTTGCAAGAAATCGAACAGTCGTTGCTGAGATATCGGCATCCAAACCGAAGTAGAAGTGCTCAGAACAACCCCACATGGCTCACCAGGAAGATTTTCATTCTTCCTAACCATCACCCTTACATCTTCACCAACATTACCAACATTAAGCTCGTCCCATTTACGCGCACTTGAAGCACAAATTCCGGCAATGAAGTTATCTGTCATGCGTCGCGCAAGGTTTAACATGCTTTTTGTGCCAGCTGTAGTTATCCCTGGGCCAGAATGGCATGTATCATAAGAGGATTCTTTTACGTTATTTGAATGTTGAAGAATATGCTGTAAAAGAAAAAGAAAGAAACCTCTTTTGTTTTCACCATGGATGGCAGGGGACATTAGTTGTGCGATGCGGTAGCAATGTCTTCGGAGAGTGTCTATCCACCTCGGTGCACCAAAGCCGAAGCCTGAACTGAGTAATGGAAGCAAGAGATGGTGGATTGTACTCTCATCGTATTCCGAGTGTTCAACCCATGTAACCTGTCATTTAGAAACTTTAGAGCTCATACAGAAACATAAGAATTTGTTAGCTTCATTCATCTCAAATTTTGAGCAATTTACCTTGGTGTGCTTGTTGTCCATGTCTTGGATGATACATCCAGATGGAAGCCTCCTGCTGTTTGCAAACATTTGCGGATTCGCAGCGTTGCAAGAATCGATGGAAACATCCACAACCGCCCACACACCATCCGAATGCCGCTTGCAGAACCGGAGAAATGGAACTCGTCGAATAGGAACCAAAGGTGAAAGAACTTGAAATTCAGCATCCATCTGCAAGTATGATATTTCCTTAAGGACAAAGCTAATCAGAAAAAGAAGTACTAACAAAGATTGAAAGAAGAGGGAGATAAAATGATACCACTTGTAATGCATTGTCTCTGGTTCCATTGGTACCGCTCGATAGCACATCAACTGTCGCCGCTTCTGCAACCAGGCAGGGAAACATTTCCGCCCAACAATTCTGTTCATAAAACAGCAGAACAATGAACTTGTTAGCTTATGATATTAGTGATTCACTCACCATATGCAGCAACCAAAAGCACTATGTTTATCGGAAAGTTAGATTAACTGATGGCGTACCGCATCCATTAGCATCTCGACAAGGGCCGAGCTGGGAAGGGGAACTAGTCCTGTTTCCCTTGTAGCCTCAACTGGGGGATTAGGCATCTCAGCCATGTTAAGTAATTCATCCATACCTGCTACTGCAACATTTACCAAGGCTGACCTGTCATATGGTAATCGATAGGCACCACAAGGTTTTATCAATGGCATCGATACCCGATCATCAAGCTCGAATCCCATCGGCAATGTACTGCCTCCATTGTTACCGCCGCAATTGTTGCATATCCGCCTCGTTATCTTCTGCTTCAAGAAACCATTCTCTACTCGAAGCCTTTCGTTCTCTAGTTTAAGAATTGCATTTTCCTGGCGTCCGAATTGAATCTGGTTTAAACCCAAAAAACTTCATCATCACCAACGCCAAACTCAATCGTCAAAAAATTAAAACAAAGACCTAAACCGATTAAAAACTTGCCTTCAACTGGTTTCTCCTGTTTTGAAACCAAAATTTAACTTGCTTCTTCTCCAAGCCAACCCTCAAGCTAAGTTCCCTTGTTTGTTCTTCATCAGGGTGAGGGAAATCCTTGAAGAAACTGGACAACGAATTCAATGAAATAATAAACTTGAATTAGAAAAGGCAAGAAATAATAACACAAAGAAGGAAGCATACGATTCAAGCTCGTGTATCTGATACGGAGTGTGCCTATGAATCTTCTTCTTCTTAGGCGGTTCACCATTATCGGCTCGTGCACCTTTGAAACTCGCATTACTCTCGAATTCATCTTCGTTCATGATCCCGAACAAGTCTAAACCCGGATCGAAGTTCTCTTCAATTCCAATCAGATCAAGCCAACCATGATTATCCATTCTTCACTACACCAAAAAAAAATAGTTAACATCTTTTTCTCTCCTTCTTGCAGTGCAAGGAAGAAAAAACAAACCAAATACTTTCAAAACAAGAAAGCTAATACCTTGTAAATTTATAACTGTAGTCACGGCGAACAGCTCAGTGTTGTTCTTCTCTCTTTTGACAGTTGGGATTTGCAGACAGTCGAAGGAGAAAGCGTTTGCTAAGTTGATGATTGTATTATGTATTTATAGATTATCTAGTAGATTACTTTATCTTCAAGTAATATAATTATGTATTACTTTTCTATTAAATTTAAAAATAGAGACGTTGGTTATGTCTTATTTTTGGAAGCTGCATTAATTAATATGGTATATAAAAGAAAAGTATAATTATTAATACATCAATCAATAAAAATAATATATTTGGTGTAAATATTTTTCTTGAAATAGTAAATAAATAATCTTAATTTTATTTATAAATATTATCTTTTATATTTGACACATCATCTTGATTAGTGCCTTAAAAATATTAGGCAAAAAGGCACACGAGACCCCTAAATTTTTCACACAAAAAATAATGTAGCCATCATCCTATTTTTTGGATAAATGTGGTCCTCATCATATTTAATTAATATTATTTTAATCATATATTAATAAAATAATAATAATATATGTCACATCATACATAAATATTAATAAAATAAATTATGGTGATTAAAATATGAGTAATTCAAAAGTTGAGTGATTAAATTGAAAAGATTTAGCATTTGGTGACCAAAATAGAAGAGAGAAGATAGTTGAGTGATGAATGATATAATTTATCCAATTTATAACAGTAGGAATTAACGAAATCATTAGTCAACGTTGGTCAAAGGGTCACATTGTTTCTTTTTTCGAGTTGGAATGTCACATTGGTTTTTTTTTAAAATTCAGGGACATCGGGTGTTTTTTTGCCAAAATATTAATATTAATGGGTAAAGAACACAAATGGGCCCGACTATAAGATATTACTTTATTATGTCCCACGACTATTAAAAGTTACAAAATGATCACCTGACTATTCATTATATTCCAATTTCGTCCTTTTCTGTTAAAAATTTAAAAGTATGTTGAGTTGAACATTAATTTGCTAATTGTGATATGATAAAATATGATCCTAAAATCTCAAACAACTATCATATTTTAGTCATCATGTTAATGTCCAACTCAGACAACCGTCTATTTTTTAATGAAAAATGATGAGTTTGAAATATAATAAATAGTCAAGTGACTCAACAAACGCCACTATATAATTAGATGACTATTTTATAACTTTTAATAGTCAAGAGACTTAAAAAACAATATCATATAGTCAGGGACCATTTGTATACTTTACTCATTTTATGATTTTTTCCTAACATTTAATGCACTATGATCATTAAACTTATATGTCAAAAAATTGTAGTTATTTTTGAACAATTATTGTATTGTATTGTATTTAACTTTCAAACTACTCCTAATTTAATTATTCTAACTTTTAAATTTATTTTTTATTTTAATTATATATTAATAAAATAATAAAAAAATATCATGTCACGGAATTTTATTAATAAAATAAATTAGAGTGATTAAAACATGAGCAATTTGAAAATTCACTAGTTGAGTAGTTAAACTGAAAATTCTTAAACTTTAAAGACTGAAATTTGAGTGAGATGATAGTTAAGTGATGAATAATGTAATTTATTCATAAAAAATGTCACGCTGTTAAATTTTTAAGGGCGGGTACAAGAACAAATAAAAATCAAGCTTTATGTATGATTTTAAAAAATTAAAAGTTTAGGTATTACAATAAATTAAAATTTATAGTTTAGCTAATAAACTCATAATTTACCCGTTCTTTTAATGCTGCCGTTGGTGTTTCGGTGAGCTAAGTTTGTGTCCCCACGATCACATGACGATGCATGTCAAGCACCTATGTGTTGTCAGGGTAAGAAAAATGTTTTGCCACCCTCAAAAGTTTAATACGAAAGTTTCGTTATTGATACAAGTAAATAAATATTATCTTAAAGATTAAGAAATCATGATACGGAGTTTTAGAAAAGATGTTGATTTATTTTGAGAATTATCAGTAATCATCCCGAGTATTTATATAGATAATATACTATTAACTCTCTAATAAATGAACATTGTCTGGGTTTAGGTACTTATTTATATATTAAGACTAAAATATATAGAATTATATATAAATTACGAAGTAGGGTCAATGAATTGAAATTGAAAATAGAACTACGAACGGCAGGCCCTTCTACTATTTGTCTGTTTCTGAAATGGGCTTGATTGGAAGAAAATCTATTGAAAGAACCATCTCATAAAGGGTAAAGCACACAAATGGTCCCCGATTATAGAGTATTATTTTATTAGGTCTTTTAACTATTAAATTTTACAAAATATTCTTCCGATTATATAATGTTGCTTTATTTAGTACATTGACTATTAAAAGTTACAAAATAGTCACATGATTATTCATTATGTTCTAAACTCGTCATTTTTCGTTAAAAAATTGACGGTTGTCTAAACTGGACGATGATATGATGACTGAGATATGATAGCCGTTTGAGATTCTGGGATCAAGTTTTATCACATCACAGTCAGTAGATCAAAATTCAGCTGAGAATACCATCAATTTTTCAACAGAAAATGATGAGTTTGGAACATAACGAATAATCGGGTGTTCATTTGATAACTTTTGATAGTCGAATGACTTAAATAATCGGGACTATTTGTGTACTTAACCCATAATTAAACTACTCCATAAGCTAATGAACATGAATGAAAGTTCATGCAATATTATGAGATTTTACTCACTTCATTTCATTTTACATTATACCATATACAGATAAAGGGTGAGAATGGGGGGGAAACAAAACCCTGAAACTCAGTGGCTCCTCGTATAGAAATTGCAGAAAGCAAAACAAAATCTGAAACGGAAGAAAATTAGAAGACTAAGCCTATTTGGTTCCTAATCATCTGCAACTTTGTGAATTCAACAACCCATTGAAGTTGCTGCACTCGAACAAGGCCTTTGCTGTCATCTCCCTTTCGAATCTCCAAATGTAATTCAAACCCACTAGCAGCTCGGTAATGGCTGCTTCAGTCTTTTCTTTGTCTGCAAAGTAGAGACTTTGAAGATGAAGAACATTCGTTTTAGGCAACAAATTCTGGTGCTCAAAGCTCCTTTCACTTTGCCATTTGATCATGTTGTGTGCCAATGGCGATAGCCAACCCATGATGTTCCTCAAAGCTGCTCTCCATTCACCGGCAAGCACCGGATCACTGGCCGAGAACCCTACTCCTTTTAGTCTACCCCCAAGAGTCGATCGAATACTGCTAGGCAGCATCGAATAAAGATCGTCCCTCGAGTCGGGGCCGACGGAATGCAGCGACTTGATCATCTTCTCCATTACGATGATCAAATTCGCGTAGTGCAAAGCCAGCCCTGCGCCACCTAACGTACATGGAGGAGGCCTAAGAACCTTCGAGTTCGACTCGAAGAACCCGACTGTCTTTTTTGCTTCTTGCTTTGAACAACTCCTCGATGGGCCTGATACGATCGGATGAACGGTTGCCGAAGTTGATAGGCTTCGAGGTAACAAAGGCGGGTACTCGAAGCCGAAAACAAGCTTCATTCTTCCCAAAATTGTGAAAGTCGTTCTAACAAGCATGGGGACAACCTCGTCAAAGCTTTTGTTCCATAAAGATCTCTCTTTTAAGTACTTAATCTCTTGCTTTTGCCAGAAAAGTTTTTGCTGTAGATCAACGATCTTTTGCTCTTTTGTTGAAGATTCGTGTTCTTTAAATTGGAATGACTTTCTAAAACTGTTTTCGATTGTGGTTAACTCCACCATTTCTTTGTACAAAGTCACCGTAATGGTCACGTACTTGTCCATCTTCGTCTTCTTAGCTTCCATATCTCTGGAACTCAGAACCCATCCATGGCTATCGTGACCCGAGTTGGCGAACTCATCGAACCACCGATCGAAACACCGAAGATTTGGATCCCGGCACTTGCTGCTCATCCTGGAAATAGAATTTGATACCAGCCTGAGATTCTCAGCCATTTCAGCACACGCTAACCCCAACAGGAAAGACTCGTCGTTCGATACAATCTTGCGGATTCCTTCGAGAGACATGGATTCATGTCGAAGCCGAATCATGTTCTTGTCCGAAAGACAATTCCAAAGTTGCAGAAGCTTCGACATAAGTCCGGCGATTTCAAAGGACAAAACCCCGACAAAGTTGGGTTTTTTATGCTTTGAAGCCTTGGAATTGGATATGGTTTCCTTAACTTTAATCAACCAGGTTTCAAGGGCCATGGATTTCGTTTCTGGAAAAAATAATCAAGAAAGAAGAAGATGAATCCACCGGAAGAAATGAAAAAGAAAGGGTGGGTTAGTGGAGTGGAATAAAATTCTTTTGAAAAGGAGAAATGATTGAAGAGATATGAGGATGATGGTGGATGAAAGAAAGCTTGAGAATTTTGCAGATTTGAAGGTCGTGGGACGTTGAGCCTGGGGTTTTAAATAGGTTCGCAATTATGTTTTCGATCGGTCGTGTTTATCACATTTTAAACTAAGGATTAAATTATAAATTCTAAAAGTAAGAGATGTTAAATTAATATATTCTTTAAAATTATATTTTAAAAATTATTAAAAAAAATAAAGCAACCCCTCCCCTTCCCCGACCTTTCTGCTTCCTCTTCCTTCTCGCCCGATTTCATTGTCTTAAAAAGAAAAAAAAATATGCTTTTACTCTCAACTCCTCTTCTCCGACCTTTCATTTTTTGAAATAAAAAAAATTACAGTTAAAAATTAGAATTACGGTTGGAATAACGTTTATAGTGTCCCGTGATCGGCGCAATCCACCGTTAACCATTATATTACGGGCGCGACATACCGCTATTAGTGTGAATCCATTACCCACCACAAAAATTATAAAAATCGATTTCGGACGATAGCGCTACCGCAATATAAAAACCGCTATCGCGTTTTTGGTCCATAATTTAAAACCCTGATTGAGTTTGAAATCTTGATTGAGGCCATTGCCCATTATAGAAATAGCAAAACCATTACAAATAGTTTTATTTAGGGAAAAAACATTAGATGTCTCTATTTTTTTTAAATATATTGTGTCACTTGTATTATTTTTTTCTCTTAATGTGGTTCTCCAACTCAAAAAATAAATTTAATGTGACCTTTTGACCAACGTTTTTTGTCGTTGATCGTTACAATATTGGCGTGTCAGTTCACAATGATGACCTAACGGTCCACGGTGCTGACATGACAGTTCATATGCCATATTTGAAATATCAATTTACCCAATTTGTCATGTCATATGTCATGTTCATTTGCCACCCTATATTGTATCTCAACACTGTGGACTGTCACATCAACACCGTAACAGTCAAAGATTAAAAAACATTAGTCAAAGGGTCAAATTGAATTTACTTTCTGAATTGAAATGTCATATTAAAAGAAAAAATAATACGTGAAATACATTGATTATTTTTCAAAAGTACATGACCTCTTATGTAATTTTATCTTTTATTTATTTATTTATAATTAAATAAAATAAAATGAATGATGGTAAAAGGACAGTAAAAGAAAAGCATTTTGTGGTTTAATAATTTAATTTAATTAAGTCAAATGATACCCACTTGAGTAAAAGTATCTTCTTTCATTTTTCTTTCAACCTCTGAACCCTCACACTACTTTTCGGAAGTTATGAGGTGCGGTATTAAAAAAACGGTTAAAAAATGATGTGACCGGTTAAAATTTAAACCGATTATGTTATATCATTTAACCGGAACTATTATCAAGCACAATAATATATTAGGTACCGCTTATATAATGTAATAGGTAGCGCTTATATAATAAAATAGGTTAATTACTGGAAACATTATAAAGCACAATAACATATTAGGTAAAACTTATATAATATAATATGTAGCGTTTATATAATAAAATAGGTTAATTACTGGAAACATTATCAAGCACAATAACATATTAGGTAGCGCTTATATAAAGTAATAGGTAGTGCTTATATAATAAAATATGTTAATAATTTAATTTGTTATTACAATATATTAGGTAAACGCCTAAAATATTATCAAGAATAACATAACCGATTATTTACTGAAAACATTATCCAGTATAATAATGTAAACGGTAAAAAAAATAGGCGTTATCTATTACATTAAACTACCTACAAGATATGTTGAAAGTATCGATTCCATTTAAATAAGTATCGACACTTTTGGAATTACCAAGGATAACATAATCGATTATTTACTGGAAACATTATCAAGTATAATAATGTAAACGGTAAAAAAAATAGGCGCTACCTATTACATTAAACTACCTACCGGATATGTTGAAAGTGTCGATTCTATTTAAATAAGTATCGACACTTTTAGAATTTAAAAAAAATAGTAATAGCGCCTATAAAGTATTGATACTTTATAAAAATATATCGATACTTTACAATATAACAAGTAAAAATAAAACAAAATCAGTTTCATTATGACAAAGCCGATAAAATTTATCAGATTTGTTGAAGTGCTTGATAATGTTTACAGTAATTAACTTATTTTATTATATAAGCGCTACCTATTACATTATATAAGCGGTACCTATTACATTATATAAGCGGTACTTAATATGTTACTGTGCTTGAAAATGTTTCTAGTAATTAACCTATTTTATTATATAAGCGCTACCTATTACATTATATAAGCGCTACCTATTATATTATATAAGTGCTACCTATTACATCATATTTTTATCTGTTATATTGTAAAGTAGCGATCCTTTTTATAAAAAGGATCGATACTTTACAATATTACAGGTAAAAATATGACAAAATCAGTTTCATTATGATAAAACCGATAAAATTTACCTAATATGTTGAAAGTATAGATACTTTTTATAAAAATGTATCGATACTTTGTTGAAAGTTATATAATTTATGTTTCAAAAACTTTTAATAGTGTTTCATGTTTTCCACCTACAATATTAATTTAATAATTTCATTTACACAAAAAATTATTTGATTGTTTTGATATTTTATAAAATATTATTTAGAATTTAAATTTAAATTTAACAATTTTAACCAAAGATAATAATAAATATGTAAAATCTATGTTTATTATTTTTAATTTAATAATAATATATGTCGTAACATAAAAATAAACCATTAGACGTGTATAATTACTAAATTAATATCTTAAAACTCGCTAAAAAATAACATTAAATTAATGTTTTCCACAGTGAAATAAGTATTGACACTTATATATATGTATCGATACTTACCGATAACCAAAGTTTACCGGTTACCATCATATTTTCTACATAAAACATTATTAGTCTGTCAACATAATAGGAAGCGCTAAATCGAATTTATTAAATATCTTTTAATATATCCGATAATGCAATATATTAACCGTATATTAATCACCTTTCCTGAGACAACCCCCACTGCTCTTCCTCCCATCTTTTTTTTTCCTTACAATTTATGTCATTTTCTATAAACCAAATCAATTTTTTCTTTTTTTTATTTTATTTAGCCATTAGTGATATCATTTTTATTGTTGATTATCCATAGTTGATTGTCTTTTCTCTTTATTTTTTTAGTTTTTTAATAAAAATAATTTTATCTTTATGATATGTTTATTTCTACATTTGTTGTACGTTTTTCTTTGTCTTTTTAATAGTTTTCAGTTATTTGGTTGTTATTTCATTTATTTTTTTTCTCATATTTAAATTTGACATCATCACGAATGAACAAGGTGGCGTTATTTGTTATCACGTTGAACTTCTCTGCTTTGTACCATCAGATTAATGTGGATACGCGTTTTGCGTTCATGAATAGTTTTCTCACATCTCTTGCCTTTGATTTACGATTTACGAATTGTCGGTGGTCTTTCAATAGCTTCATCCCCTTTTGTAGTTAGTTTATCGATGCAGTCAAATTTGATCATATCTTTATTTTGTTTGAGTATTTTAGTTAGATTTTTTAATTTTTTCATTCTTTGGTCCTTGTGTGCTATAAGTGACTAATTTTGGGTCAATAGTCCTGGTTTTTTTCTCATATTTGTTTTTTAATAATTTCTAAATTTTAGTATTTATTTATTAGTAAGACGTAGTTGTAATGAAAAAAATTGAAAGTAATTATACTGCATGGTGGGTAAATAGGAGTATTTACTGTTCGGTTTTAACCAAATTAACCGATCGAATTGAATTAGTTTGGTTAATTCAGTCGGCCATCGAATTGTCCAGTCGTAAAACATTTAATTCTTTTTCAATATTCGATTAACGGTTAATTCTGTTCGAAATATATTTTTATATATATTAAATCTATTTTTATGCTCAAATTTATTAAGAATTATGATCCAAATATGTTTTAACCACACTAAATTCATTGAACATTCACACTCATAATATATATGATGCTCGAACTCAAATCCTTAAAAAATAGTAATAATTTATTTATTATGGAGGTCACTTGTTTCATTCATAACCAAATATTGTGGTCTTCAAAATCTATGAAGATCTTGGGAAGTTTCACGTGCGATAGTCTTAATATGTGGCTAAGGAAAGACATTACCGGTTTTGTTATTATTTTTTTAACATTTCCGATAAAAAATTACATAAAACATTATTATTTCTATCGGTTTTGTTATTATTGGGCGCTTTATCGATTTTGTTAATATATCTGGTAAAACGTTACCTAAACATTATTTTTTCTATTGATTTTGTTATTATTAGGCGCTTTACCGGAAATGTTAAAAAATATTAATGTTTTAAGTATAAATAATAATGTTTTAGGTATTTTTTTACCAAAAATGTTAAAAAAATAACAAAATCGATAACTTCTTTCCTTAGCAGTATATTAAGGCTGTTGCACAGTAGAACTCCCCGAAGATCTTAAGATCTACTGCGGTCATAACCATGAGACATGCATCATTTACTAATGGTTTAATGTCATGTTTGATGTACGTCATAATTTTACCACATAAATAACACATACCATATTATAATGATATTAGTTCTAAATTATAAGTTCAGTACCTCATTTATTATTTTAATTTTATTTGATCACCAAATTATTTTTTAAAATTATACATATCGTTATGTTTTAATTTCATTTTAGTAACTCGTTATTAAAAAATTAACAAAACTACTGACACATCATTATATAATAATGTCATGTCCTTATTGAAAAATAAAAAAAATCATGTCAACAATTTTGTTATTTTTTAAACGATGGATGGTTAAAATGAAACTAAAACATAATATTTGACATAATTTTGAGGAAA